TAACAATAATCCACAGCTCCTCTCTCTGCTCCAGAGGATTTAAAAAAATATATATCCCAATGCCCCCCCCCCTCCCTGTGAACCTAGTGTGCTCTGATTGATCAGCTCGCCCACTCTGTTCTGATGAGTCCACCTCCGTTACAGCGGAACATCAGTGATTATGTGTTACAATGGCGTTCGCAACCAGAAAATGACAAACAGAGGTCAGAGTTCCCGTTAGCCGGTAATTACCGGACTATGACCGGAAAAATATGCTGAAGACCGGCAAATCTAAATCTCTCCGGTCAAAATGTCTGGTCAAAATAATTTCCCTTTAGCGCAATATCGCATCAGTTGCGCCACTTATGTGACAGACAAGAATAGTATGTGACAGACAAAAGAGTATGTGACAGACAAGAATAGTCAATTCTAATGAGATGTCCTGTATGGGTTGATTGTGCGTTGATCTGTTGGTAATGCCTCGGGGTTCTGGTGGGCATGTAAACAAATGCATAATGCTGCGCTATACTTTGTGGCCTCACCCGGTTGCATAGCGACGCTTATTGTTTAGGTCTCTTTTGATAAGCAGGTAGTCATATCATTAACTAGAACTAGCTAGATCTGATCGATATGGACATAAACGCGAGTGAAGTCTAATCTGACCGGAGCAAGAGATCAGCTGCTGCTGACTAGTCGACACGCAGCTCTGCATGATCATCTGCAGCGGTGAGCGGAACAAAACACACACTTCAGGTTAGAATATCACACGTAGCTATTTTAATTACCTCTCAAACTACCTAAACTAGTTGTAGATATGTTTAGTTTTACTGTCGGGTCACTCATTACTGGATCCGCGAGCTGCATGATACTGGCGGGCTGTCAGGAGAAGGAGAGAGCGCTCCGTTTATTATTCCCGTGTTATTGTAAATTACTGTACACTTTTGAATAATGTAGTTAATCTACTATAATTAGTTTGTTTAATATCGAATCATATTTGTTTTAAAGCTCAATAAATAACAAAGAAGACCTTTGACCGGCACTTTTCTAATTTTGTCCGGAAGATTAAAATTTTAACGGACATTTTGACCGGTGAAAAAATATTCTAACGGGAACTCTGGTCTGGGTGCCGTGTTGGCGGGACGTTGCGGGGCTCGCTGCTGCGGACAGTGTGAGCTGGATTACTGGGGTCGTTTCCTGGTTGCTGTGTGGGGTCTGCGAGACAGCGAGACACGCGAAACTCAGCCTGAACTCAGCATGAGACAGCGAGACACCGCGAAACTCACCTGAACTCAGCCTGAGCACACACACACTCGTAGCCTGGCTGTGAGTTTGTGTGTGTGCTCAGGCTGAGTTCAGGCTGAGAAATCCGCCGAGCCGCAGCTGAGAAAAGATAAGGCTGAGTGAGTGTGTGTGTGTGAGGAGATCCACGGATTGGTCCATTTGGATCTGGGCATGGTTACGTCACCATACTCGGGAAGAAAAAAATGGAAAAAGACAAATCTCCAATGAGGCGTTCTGGGGCAGCATAGACAGGTATTTTCTGTGTTAGAGTTTTACTCGCTACAGGGTGTACTTTGAGGGTTTGTGACTTTGCAGACCGTTTACATGCAGAAAAAGCTACATAACACACAAGGGGACGGGTAATAAAAGCATGACATGGGACCTTTAAGAGAACCGCAATGGAATAATTTATATGCTGATACATTGCTGCCAAATGTGTGAAGAATTAAGTATCACAAATATGCTTTTTCTTACATTAAAAAGGACCATTTTAGCCATTAACTATGTGCCAAACCTGTAAACACCAACTCAACCATGAACTAAAACATGACTAAATGCAATGAGATCGAAATAATTTGTTTTGCTCATGATGATGAGTGGTGTTTAAAATGTCTTTGTGTCCTGAGGAGGCTTCATTTGTTACATTAACTCAAGGCTTTGGCCTCTGTTTCAATGAAGAATACTCACTGTAAACTCATCCTGACAGCATTTGTCAAATGTCCTGATTTCTAAATGAGGCCCCCAGACAGTGTGGGTTCAAAATATACTTTGACTTAAAAGCTTATTCCCCAAGAATGAGTTGGCTTCACAAATGACATTCATTATCTTACTCTTACAACTTTCCATCTCTTATAGGATTTTTACATATTATATGCTCCTAGTTTTGCATCGTTGCATGCTGGTGGCCAGAGATGGCAAACATATGAGGTTTGCAGTTACACACACCTAGAAGAAAACCTACATAAGATTTAAAATGTATTGTGTTTAGGTACATCATAGTGTATGGGAGGCATATCGAGTTCAGAGGAAAACTATTTATCTGGTGCTACTGTTGTCTTTAGTTCAGTTTAATATGTTGCAGTGTTGTGTTAGCATTAAGAGACTAATTATGAAGGTGATAGACAGCTCTTAAAGCTGTTAAAAAAACAAGTTATTTAGTAAATGTTTCTAAAAACACTGACGTGAAGTTAGCTTCCTTTAAATGCCTCACTGTTGATGGCTCTCTCAGTTTCCCTCCCCACTGTCTATAAAGTTTTAGAAAAAACATTTCGCTGTCTTGGCAATAACACGTGTTTTGTGGGATAGCGATGGAAATATGCTATGAACTGTATAGACAGCTTGTTGTTCAAACACCGGTGTACTGTATATCCTGTCTGGGACAATGCTTTCTGGAAGTCTAACGTGTAACTTAACCTGCTAATCACATGAGCTTAACATGCTAACAACATCGTGATTAGCCACAGCATCTATGCAGGACCACATGCTATTAGCTTCCTGAGATATCGGTTACAGCAGTGAAGATGGATGAAGTAGTAACTGTGTTGGGTCCAGTCTATTTCAGTCACCTCAGGTTAGCTACATGGGCCCAGCAGGCCTTCTCGCTGTAGAAATTTCCAGAATGATCAGAGGTTAGCTTGCTAACACACTGGCACGGGGCAGTGTACGTTAACTAAGATACTACTCACCTTCTGGGTTATTTTCTGGCTCAAACTGCTGTCCACATCCCTTATTATAACACAAAACGGACATGGTGCCGGGTGGAAGAAGTTTTACCGGTGCCCAGATGTTTAACTAACCACTATACGGCTCGTGAGTGTGGGAAACAGTGCCCTAGCCGTTTGTGGACTGCATTCCACTTCCGGAAGTTCTCGGCTCCACTCGGTAAAGATCGGAGCTTGCCCAACCCGCCACCTCTATCCAGTGAGCGCTCTGTAGTCCCACTGAAGCGACAACTGATGCTGACTGCTTCACAACTTGCGTAAAGCGACATGTTCTTTATACTACTTTATTCTCGGAACTTAACCTCAACCAGCAAATGACACCGGGCTGTTTTAGCGTGTGTTTTGTGTTAACTATTGCAGATAAAGCCGGAGTAGCCCGCTGCACCCAGGGTTACATTAGTCAGGTGCATGAAACTGGGGCAATAGCCTATTTAGTTTTACGAGGATGGCTGCAGCCTAGTAGACAACTGCCTGTCGGGATGTGCTCATGAATGTTCCGTTTCGAGTATTCTGACTTCTGCGCGACTGTTTTGTCCGTTTTGCCTTTGTTTTTTGTGAAGGACTGTCGGAGAGAGGATGGGAAATGATTTACTTTCACTGATTACCGCTGTTTCGTGTAAAGGTAGGACACGCTGCGTTTTGTGAGTGAAGTATGTGTAGTTATTAAATATATAGATTGTGGCTTCAGCCTGTAGCTTAGTAAAGTCGTGGATTGTGCACGGAGGCAAGCTCCATCGCATCTGCATCAACATGGGAGCCGATAAATGCACCCCAATATCTCCCGGGACAGTCTGCCTCGGGAATTTTTATTTGAGTCGTTGGATTATGACAGCCTAGCCCTTTTGGGGTTGATTTAAATCTATGTCCTGGAATCTGTAAATGAGAATGTCATTTGTTAAATGTAGTTTCTGTTGAAGTTGTACAATTATCAAAAACATGCGATGAGGGGATGCATTTAGCATTAAGTAAACAGTAGACCATGCAGAGGGCCTATCTAGAAGCATAATCTTTAAATATAATACAATACAAAACGTTTAAAAGTCAACCATAAATGTCATTTTATTTCCTTTTTTGGCAGTCACCCACGAGTTAAACTTGTAATTAAAGTTGGCTGTGCTCCTGATGATAACCTTTGGTGGATGAATCACTTGTTATTTAGGTAAACGTATCGACGCTCTGTTTAAATAGAAGGCCTCTATTGAATATCTTAGTTAAGTCAGTAGCATTAGAAGTGTTATTTATCAAAAGTACAAGGACAATGCTAAATGGTCCATTTCAGAACAATATGTTTCATATTATTGGATCAAAATGAGTGTGCATTAATGTGTAAGCATCACACTTGTTGCTGCTGGTTAATCCAGAAATGTAGGTAATATAAATACATCATAATTTCTTAATATCTTAAAAAAAGTGTAGTTTTTTTTAATTGTGCAAGATGATGTTTGTCAGGCCATGGTGTTCTTTTGTGAAATTAATGCAACCCTGGAAGTCACTTGTTAAAAAATAACAAGCCCTTGTATCTTTATAGGCGCTCTATTAAAGTAACAGGGATTGTTCCTGATCCCTGTTGGTATTTTATTTTATTTGTTGACATTATGTGATTCCCTGAGGCTGTGTAAGTTCACCTGGCTTTGATTTGGTTTGTTTAAAGATATGTCAATGAGTCTTTTGGATGCAATATACAGTGTTTGAAAGCAAACATTTGAAGCGCATCATTGACATGCTATCTTAATCTTGTAGCGATAAGCAGTCCTGAAATGTCTTTGGAATTTTGATCTCACAGTTCTTTAAATTTTTAGCTTTTAGAGTGCATGTCTTTAACAGCTCACCAACTGAATACAGATATTTTCTTCTTTTTTATTCTATCCACATATAGGGTGACTGGGTGATGGAATTGTGATGAAGCCATATCGGTGGGGAAATATGCTTCCTCAACACAGCTTCTCTCTTCTATTTCATTTTATTTGCTTCATTCTTATCCTCCTCCTCTTCTGTTTAACCTCAATCAATGCCCAGTTCATGACAGAACCCAGGTCAGGACAAGGCCTGCTGCTCTTCACGCAGCCTGCCTATAATGCTTCCATTTTTGAGAACTCAGCAACGAGAACGTATACCAGGAGTGAGGCTAACATGGGCATCATTCTTGGGCCACCCAGGTCTTTAGACATAAAATACTCCATTACGTCTGGAGACAGTGAGGGAATCTTCCAGGCTGAGGAGTTTGTAATGGGAGATTTTTGTTTCCTCCGTGTACGCACCAATGGAGGCAGTGGCGGCACATTAAATCGGGAAGTACAGGACAATTACACACTGACAGTTAAGGCTTCTGCCCACGGAGGTCTTCAATCTTTAGCTACAGTTTATATCAAGGTATTGGATACCAATGATCTCCGACCTCTCTTCTCCCCGACCTCCTATTCCTTCGTTGTTTCTGAGAGTGCCCCACTGGGTGCCAGCATCGGACGTGTTACAGCCACAGATGCGGATGTGGGTTCCAACGGGGAGTTCTACTACTTCTTCAAGAACAGGATTGAACTCTTTGCTGTTCATCCGACTAGTGGTGTTATCACCCTAACTGGTCGTCCCAGGTTGGACAGACAAGAGCGATTTAACCTAGAGGTGCAGGTGGTGGACAGAGGGATGAAACTCTATGGGAACAATGGTATCAGCAGCACTGCTAGGCTGGTCCTAACAGTGGAGCGGGTCAATAACTTTTCCCCTGTTCTCAATGTAATTGCTGTTGTTCCAGAATGGGCAGACAAGGACCCAGTATATGCCATATTGACTGTGGAGGACAAAGACGAGGGCGTATCTGGGGATATAGAATGGGTGTCCATTATTGAGGGTGACCACCTTGAACAATTTGTCATTGATCGATCGCCTGTCAGTAATGAGTATAGGGTTAAAACATCAGAATTGTTCGACTGGGATACATTCCCCTATGGTTGTAAATTAACCTTCCAAGCAAAAGACAGAGGTATGCCTCCTAAGTTTTCCAATACTGAAGTTGTTCAGTTGTTGGTTTCAAAGCCAGACCCAGTGTTAGGGAATTTCGAGAAAGATGTTTATGAAGTCAAGCTGAGTGAAATAGCTCCCCCAGGCACTATTGTGGAGGTGGTGAAAATCTCTCCAGCTCCTCTGAGTGTCAATTACAGCTTCAGCAACCCCTTAGATCTAATGTACTTTGATATAAACCCTTTGACTGGAGTTATCATGACCACAAGGCAGCTGACAAGGATATCACAGGATTTCATGGAGATGGAGGTAGTTGATGTTATCAGTCAGCAGCAAGCAAGGGTCCAAATCACCATAGAGGATGCTAATGACAACTCTCCAGTGTTCAACAAGCCCGTCTATGAAATAGCAATCAATGAGAGCTTACCTGTTGGCACAGTTGCTCTTGTGGTGTCTGCTGTGGATGCTGATAAAGGAGAGAATGGGTATGTAACCCACACAATAAACGGAGAACAGTCTCTTCCCTTTACAATAGACCAGGTCACAGGGGAAGTGAGAATAACAAGAGACCTAGACTTTGAGTCATCAGATGATATCTATACTTTTGCAGTGCGGGCCTCAGACTGGGGTTCACCTTTCAGAAGGGAGAGTGAAGTTAATGTCACCATTCGTCTGACAAATATAAATGACAACCAGCCTCTTTTTGAGAGTGTTTCCTGCAGAGGGATGATAAGCCGTGATTTCCCTGTCAGTCAGACTATTGTCACTTTGTCAGCCGTGGACATGGACGAGCTAGAAATGGTAACATACAAAATACTGTCTGGTAACGAGTTGGACTATTTTGACTTAAATCCAGAATCAGGGTCTTTGTCTTTGAAAAGATCGTTAGGGGTGGTTAATTTAAAAAGCGGGATATTTAACCTAAAAATAGTTGCTACAGATGGTGAGTTGTTTTCTGATCCTACATTTGTGAATGTGTCTGTGGTGAGGGGTCGTCAGCCACCCAGGGGGTTCAACTGCAAGGAGACCAGGGTTGCCCAGATGTTGGCAGAAAGAATGCTTTCAAAAGTGTCCGCTATGGCTCGACCAAAACCAGAAGAAAGATACACAGATACACTTTTCTCTATCAACAAACAGGCTCCACAGTTTGAAGCCTTACCTACTAGTATTCTGGTGAAAGAGGACTTGACTTCTGGTGCCAGTGTATTTACGGTGAGGGCACGAGATGGGGACACAGGCTTTAACGGCCGTATTCTCTTTTCCATATCTGATGGTAACAAGGATAACTGCTTTAATATCAACATGGAGAGCGGGTTGATAACTGTGTTAGAGCCACTTGACCGTGAGCGATTGGATCGTTACTTCCTTAATATTACTATTTACGACCAGGGCTCTCCTCAGATGTCCAATTGGAGACTACTAACTGTGATCATTGAGGACACAAATGACAATGACCCTCAGTTTGATCAGGAGAGCTTCTCTGCTGTTGTTGCAGAAAACTCGGCCATTGGTGTCGAAGTTATTACAATCACTGCCTTTGACAGAGACATGGGTCAAAATGGACAAATCTCATACGTAATGCTCACCAGTGTCCCTCAGTTTGGTATTGACAGCGAAACTGGAAGTGTATTTGTTTCCAGCCACTTGGACAGAGAGACTATCCCAATGTTCCCTTTAAAGATTGAAGTGCGGGACAAGGCTGAAAGAGGCACTCGGAGGTCATCAGTGACTACTCTTACCATAATTGTGGAGGATATCAATGATTGCGCTCCAGCTTTCATCCCTAGCAGCTATAATGCTCGAGTGCTTGAGGACCTGCCTCCAGGGGCCGTGATTACCTGGGTGGAGGCTCAGGACCCAGACATGGGCCCCGGGGGACATGTCCGATACTCCTTGATTAATGACTTCAATGGCACTTTTGAGGTAGGTGATGTCACAAATGTGTATTGTCCAAACAGTTCCATATGCAGATCCTTTTTTTTTTTTTTTTATCGTTAATGATGCATGGGATTGTAATGAATTTTACAGATTGATGTTGGGAGCGGAGCATTGAGGATAAGGAAGGAGCTGGACTTTGAGAAACAACAGTTTTTTAACCTGACAGTACAAGCTGAGGACAGAGGGATACCCAGCCTCATCAGTCAGACATTTGTGGAGGTGGAGGTGCGTAACATACACACACAAGTACAAGAAAATGTGTGTCACAAGCAAATTCTAAATCATCAATTTGAAATTGACATGAATAGGTCCGTTGATTAATTTCACGTGTCAAATAGATTACATTTAATTAATTGAAGTGTTATTAACTTCTGTTGAAATTAGTATTTAGGGTACACTTGCAAAGCAAACATGTATTAATCAGAAAAGCTGCTAGTTGTAATGTAATTAAAAGTAGTATTTTATATCAGTCTAAAGCTCTGTTGTGCATATTTATTCTGTACGATACTACAGATAACATTTTTCAGATTTCCAGTCAAAATTAAAGTGAACCCTTACCTTTTTTCAGGTGGTGGACGTCAACGAGAATTTGTATGCACCCTACTTCTCTGACTTTGCTGTGAGAGGCTCAGTGAAGGAGAACTCTCGAGCGGGCACAAGTGTCCTGACAGTCAGCGCTAAGGACGACGATAAGGGGCGAGATGGGGTGTTGAGGTATTCTGTCAGAGGAGGCAGCGGACTGGGCACTTTCACCATTGACGAAGACACAGGTGCGACAAAAGATCAATATGGAAGCCTATTTATGTAAAGTGGCTCTCCATTACTTCACAGTCCCATGCATGGAATTTAAACACCCAAGTGATTTGCGTTTGTTTAGGAAATCGTACTATGCTTCTGCCATGACTTTCTCATCAGTTAAAGTGGACCTATTATGCTATATTGGACATTTTTTATTGTAGGGCCATACCTATACAAGACATGTCTGTGAAGTTTTTTGCTTAAAATACCAAACAGATCACCCATTGTAGCCATGCCTCATACTGCTCATACCCCTCTTTTGCAGCCCTGTTAGAGAAACGCGGATTTTGGGTCCTTAGCTTGAAAAAAAAGAAAGAGAGGAGGCGGAGCTAATGCCTGATCAGAATTCTACCGGAGATAAAGTTAAATTCTGCTGTGATAAAATGCCATCCTGTTCTAAACCACATCAAGGATTATTTCTGAAACAGTATGGAGCTCAAATGCTTTTTCTCTTGCGGGTTTATCACAAGGTGAGTTCCTTTTTTAATTACCTGCTTTTTAAACACATGTGCTCTCCAGTACAGGTTAGCTCTGAGTGTTAGCGAGGCTTGCTAATGTAAACAAAGATGAGATTACGTCCAAAACACGTCAGGCATTGTTTCTGATAGCAACTTTCTGTGGGTCCGCCGCCGATTTGACGTCATATCGGCATCAAATCTGGATCCGCTCGTTGTACCCCCGTTTTTAAAAGATTTGGGTGCGGAGGAAAAGAGAAAGGGTTTTATTTTCTGACGCTGCGTGAGTTCCCCGACGCACCAGGGACACATATTTATGTATAAAAGACATCAAAAAGTGCATCTTGCATGATAGGTCCCCTTTAAATAATGTGTGCATTGAAAGAGGTGAAAAGGGTGTGAGTTACAGTCAGAGTCAGTGTGTTGAACGGGCCTCACTGTGTACTGGGAGATCATTACTATAATGAGGGCAGCATGGCAGCCACACTGGCAGAGCCTCAGGCCGCTCAGTACAGCTGATCCAATGCTGTGTGGATAACATTGATCAAGGATTTCCTGCACAGTTCCACTATCCTTTTCAAGTAGTGAAATCACTGTGACTTATTTACAGAGGCCTGACACGAAAAAGTGTGCATTTGTCTCCAACTGTCCCCCGTTGTCAGACCGCAGCTGAAAAACATGTTGATCCAAAGAGAGACTCACTCACCCAGGGATAAAGTGTATCAAATACCCTGTATGAAATTAGGACAGTTCATGTTAGTTCATGTACAGAATGAAACGCCAACTTTCTCCCATTTTTTATATTTCCGTTCAAGGAAGAGGACTCATTTGATTTTTCCATGTGAACAAAAGCAGGTTAGAGAACTCTCACTTTCCCATCAAGGCTTCTTATCAAGGCTCGCTGTCTCTCTCTTTTATCCCTGCTGCCGAAGCTTTTAAACCCAATCTCTCTCTCTCCATGGTGCTGAAACATTCAAGCTCCAAAATCAGTCCCTTATTCACCCATTCTCCAGGGTACCCCGTAGTGAGTAGTGCCTCATAATTACAGGTCCTGTAATTTGTACAAGCATGCACATTTGGAATCAAAGTCCTATTGTTTTATTGTATTGTATCACAGATGTACGCAGCAGGTCAAATGAAATCCTACATTCTGCCAATCAAGTAGCAGCAATATAATAATATACCAAGATAATATAGATATACAGTAAAAACAGGTGATATTACTTTCTTATTAAACAATGCATTTTAATTATGCAGGTTATTGAGACTATTTAGTGACTCATTGTGAACAGCTATGTAGTCCCCAAACATAGCAAGTTAAATACAAGTGTAAATTAGTATCTTAACCCACATTTGTCACTAATATGTATATAATTACAGCAATATTGTTTAGTAACAACTTGTAATATCGATTTTCAATAGGATTTGACAACACAATATGTGGCTATATATATAAATAGCCATTACAGTTATTTTTATGACAGCGTTCCTCCTTTGCCTCTTTCTTGTCCTCTTGTCACGCTGGTCCCTACTGTACAGGACTTGCACTGGAGGCCTGTATTGACTTTAACTGGGGTAATTAGTATTGACTTTATTGAGAGGAAGCGAGAGAGAAACAGATTGCCAAATGGAAAAAGTGTCCCTTTTAATATACTAAATGTATAAATAATTACTAACGTATATGTACAGTATGTGTACATGCTGTAGTGATGCACAAAACAGTGTTGCAGAAGACAGACAGTCTTCTTCAATGGTACTTGGTGCTGTTGTTTACTCGTACTGGTATTAATACCTCAGTAGGGAGCATCACAGCAGTGAGAAAGGTTATTGAGTGCAGATTTTCCAGGCGAAAGCAGAACGATTGTTAGAGCAGAAAGTGGAGGGAGAGGGGAGTGGAAGCGAGGCAAAAAGAGGAAGGAAGAGGATGCAGGGGAGAGGGAAGTGCATAAAAACTGTCAAAAGAAAATAATGCTTTCTTCTTCCCTGGCTTTTATATATATATATATATATATATATATATATATATAAATAGTGTATATTCTGGAATTTGTTTTCTAGTTGCAGCTATTCCCCCATAAGCAACTTAAAAAGTCCATGACCCTTTTTGCTATCAGATGAGAAGAGACAGTAAGCCCATACCAAGTTTTCTCTCATCAAGTGTTTCATTTTATCGTGTAGCGTAGATGTTTGTGTTGTCAGGCATGGGCAGAGTACCGCTCCGTCCTCCCACCATGCATTTAGCTGCCATGCTGAGTGGCTCGGCTCTGACTGCTTGTCAATCCGTGGCTCTTAGTGCCAAAACTAAGTATGTGAAGGTAGATTGAGACAGACAGTGAGAGTGAGTAAAAGGGTCAGAGAGAATTATATATTGTGTGAAGAATCTATTTTGTTAAGACTGCCTTAACTTGTGCATTACCTCCTTCTTTAGTTTGTAAATTGGCTTCGATGAGGCATCCTGTGTTGCTCATGACATCACCATTGTCTGTCATATACTTAATTGAATGTTTATTGATTTCCTGGGTTTGCTATTTAGATGCCTAAGATGACTCACTCCAGTATGGATAGAGAGTACAAGGGCTATCTATCAAAAGGGAAGTAGGATCTTCTCTGGCTTAAATCCTTAGCACTTCTGTACTTTGAACAATAATTGGTATTCTTGTCATCAGTGAGGGTGGAAGCAAACCCTGCTATTTCTCATTGGGCACTTAGGATAAAGCAGTCTTTGAGTTCCAGGCAAACACACTTTTGAAAAGTAATTTATCCTGAATTTGATAAAAAAAGAACAAGCTTTACTTTCCTGCCACACGCAGAGCTACTTGATTGTGCTTCAAGTGTTAGAGAAATACAAACAGTATTTTCCTCATCAATCTTGGGATTGATTATTTGATATGGTGGCATACATTCAATAGTGGGACCCCTACACCGTTTTCCCAAGAATGGGGGATTGAATAGACATGACAGATGGATGTAAACCCAAGAGTACTGTGAACTTCAAGATTAGAAATGATGCCATGACCCCTTCATTTTTGTTCCCACTCTTTGAAGTGTGTTATTTATGGTGAGAATGGATGCTGTCAAGTCAGATTTATATTGAATTCACTGAATAGTGCCTGTCGGTCTTAAAGTTCAAAGAGCTTTTGAAACAGCCAGCTCTGTTTTCCTCGCCTCTCTCTGTCGAGTTATCTGACAGAGATGAGATGGGGTTTGAAAAGGACATGGTCAAGGACGTCAGAGCAAGGATGTGTTTCAGCAAACACATTTACTATGCATTGTGCATGCTCCTGGGCAGCTACTTAGTCATAATCTGACACATACACACACTTTCTGTGATAAGGTAACACTCATGGCATGGGGCTGAGAAATATACCAAAGGACTTAAGAACCCACTTCCAGTCACAAAAGTGCATGCTTTTATGTAGAGGTTAATAAAAATACTCAAAAACCTTTTAGTCTCATCCAAACATTATGCATTTAAGCAGTCATGTTGCCATGGCAGCAGAGTGGTTACGGCGAAAATTAAGACACATATTAATTTTATGTTCAGAAATATGAATTTAGGCCATTCAAGCATCAATAAATACTTGTCCTTCCATTAATACAGCTACTTCTCATAAGTATTCAAATGGTGATATTGAAGGTATTTGCATGCAAGAGCATAAACTCACTAACATCATCAACATCACTCAGTCGTTAATTATAAGAAATGAAATAGCCGTGGTGAGATTTAGGTAAGTCTAAAGCAAATATATACTCTCACATGTGCCGTCTCAGCTCTGCCTAGCATCTTGTTGGGGTTAATTGCTTGTGAACTGAAGCATGACTTTGCAAGCATTGAGAAAACACTTACTGCACGCCTTAGCTCTAACTGACTTTATTAAAGTTAGTTAAAGTCACACACTCATGCTGGCTTTTAAAAGTTTGTGTGCACGGAGCGGAAATGCATCAACAGCTAGTCCTTATGAGGAGTTCAGTCTATTTGTTCTCAGTGGACTTATTTTCTGTAAATAAAAATGATTGAATATGTGTTTATTTTTTAATCCAAACTGTGTGTGACAGTGATGACCACCGTTGAGCTTCAGTGCTCTTAAGTGAAGGCTAAAACCCAGTGTGTGAGCATGTGTGTCATTTTTTCCATTGACGTCCTGCAACAAAAAGTCAAATAGGAACCCATGTGTCGTCCATTGTGAGAGTTCTCTTTGTCTCTCAAGAGGTCACCAGAGCTGTCAGCTACTCATCTTCCTCAGGGCCACTAAACACACGCCAGTCACTGTGCATGAATGTCTGAGTGTCTGCGTTTGTCTTTATTGGTGTAGGGCCGTTCAGGGTACATTTAGCACCAAGCAAATTGCAGCTGGGAGCAGTTTGGTCAGCTGTGATTAGCTTTAGAGAGGCTGAAACATTGAAGGTGACTACAGCGGCGCCTCTAATGCCTGTGAATGTCACTGAAGCCGGGACACAAAGTTTTCTCTCTGAATTTCTGTATTTGCCTCTAGAAAGTTAGTACTGAAAGACTTTTCCCCATGAGATATGTTGACAGTGCATTCTGCAGAAGACACCCACACTGTCCCTAACACACCTAATAGATATGTTTTCTCAAACCCCAGTAACAACTGTATGGTTCTTTTTTTGTTCTGCTTCAAAAGGGGTTATTTATACTGCTGGAATCCTGGACTGTGAGACCAAAGACTCCTACTGGCTTAGCGTCTTTGCCACAGACCGAGCAGTTACTCCCCAGTCTTCCTCTATTGAAGTCTTCATACAGGTACCCATATTCTGCTGGCTGTATTCACATTCATAATCATGAAGTTTCTTAATAAGTAGTTGCTGTTTTGAATAATAACTCATTAGTTTAATCTTAATTGCTTACAGATGTAGCGCCTCATTTCGAACGTCCCCACCCATGTGGGTCTGTGACAGGCACGGTACAATATATAACAAACATCATGCTTATTTATAATTTAGACTGTTTTTTTTTTTTACTCCTAAAGACATTTTTCATTAAGCAGAATATTCTAAAGTCTACAGGGGGTTATTGTTTGATGTTTTATATCAGAAATAGCTTGTGTGGAGTATTCTTTGCTTAATGTCACATTTATTTCTATCATATCAGGACAAATCTTAAACTCGAATTGCAATTTTACTGCAGTGGTGGTCTCCAAGGTAACCTTATGCATCTGAACATTGTTGTGCTACACAGCGAAATGCTAATGGGGCTCAGTGCAGTGGATAACTATAGCCATGCTCTGTCTGTGAGCTACAGATACCCACCAGAGGGAAGTCTCTGCTTCTGCCTCTATTTTATTTTACACCAAGTAATCCACAGTCCAAACACTGAAAAACACACATCACTGCTCCCCCTTTGGGGCAGAGTTCAGCAGTGGATACAAAAACAAACCGCCTTGTTTGGCTTCAGGATATTCAGGTGTGGCGGTGTGATCGGGCGCTTTACTCCCGGCCGCTTCGTCACGACCAAAATAGGGAGATTAATCAGGCACAGGTGCTCCTCATTCACCGGCTGAACGTCTTGGCTCTCTGTGCCTTGCAGCAAACACTCCATCAACGCTGTGTTGGCCATAAATATTCTAGATCTATGCTGTAAGAAGGGAAATGAATTTGCCGTGCATTTAAAGTGTGACATCCATGACGTTTTCTGGTAAAAAACATTCCATTTTGTGATTGATAACAGATCAACCCAGACCAAGGGCAAGATGCATTTCATGAGTTGTTGATTAAAAAAAGATTCCAAACGCAATATTACCATTCTGATTTAGAGGGTTATGTTTTATCAACACATCTAAGGCCAATTAAGATTTAACTCTGATAAAGTAGACGGTTAAAATATAAATAAACAACACTGCTTATTCTTGTCATTCTCCTCCGCCTTCTCTCCCTCTCTCAACTTATCACTCTCTCTTTCTCTTCATTTTCCTCCCCCCCTTTTCTCTCTCAGGTAGAAGATGTGAATGACAATGCTCCCCTCACCTCAGATCCTATCTTTCACCCAGTCGTCATGGAGAACTCTCCAAAGGATGTGTCAATCATCCGTATCCAGGCGCAGGACCCTGACCTCACTGCCATTCCCAGTCGTTTAAGTTACCGCATCACCGCCGGCAACCCGCAGAATTTCTTCTCTATCAACCCCAGAACAGGTAAGACCAATAATGCAACCATTTTGGTATCATAATTGACGGTTTAATATGCTAGACCAGTGGTTCTCAAATGTGGGTACGCGGACCCCTAGGGGTACGTTGGAGTACTGCAGGGGGTACGTGAGATTTATTTTATGTTAATGAAAAAAAAAAAAAAAAAATATATATATATATATATATATATATATATATATATATATATATACCAATTTTAGGAAAAGTAACGAAGTTTGAGCAGTGTGGGTTTTATATTAATAGACTAGAGTTACACATATTTCAAAACACGAAGTGTAATAACTGCAGGTGCCTCCCTGTCAGAATGACAAAGATCCTCAGTGAAGCACAAGCCTATGTTTCTCACTAAATTGTAAGTACAACTTATTAAAAAGATCAGTTCAATGTAACTAATGTCATCTTAGTGTTATTGTATGATATTAAAATTGGTTTGCCATGAATTTAGTGATGGATTGTAAACATTTGAAATGTAGCAAATAAGTGTTTCTCAGTTAAAATGTTGTTGTTATAATAAATCACACACTGATGGTGCAGCGCTGTACTGTACCTCTTTATATAGGCTTTTTCTCCCTAACAAATAGTTTTTGCACTGATCAGGGGGTACTTGGCTGAATTCTTTTTCAAAGGGGGTACATTATTGAAAAAAGTTTGAGAATCACTGTGCTAGACTATTGAACTAGTACGTGATATATCCTTACAAATAACAAATTAATGATCCAAGTATTTTGTGTTTACCTGTTTGCATGCCTCTCAAATGAGTATAATGTTCTTGCATCATGTCCCTCCTACTCCAAGTTCATTCAATAAAAGGCCTTGAATCCCACACAACAAATTAAAAAGACTTTTGTGCCCACACAATCAAACATCTAAGACACTGATGAGCTGCCCCTCCACACAATCTTCCCCACGCTCTTAACTGAATATTGCTTTCAGTCATCTTAAGGGGTGAAAGCTCTCTGTAATGCACTTGAGGAAATTCATGCTGTTAGTTTTTTATTAAGCCAGTGTGTGGGTGAATATCTTCTAGACAAGAAGGAGTTTAAATTAGTGAAAGCAATTTTCTTTTCCATTACTTTTGTTCTCTGAAGGACGCACAGCTAGTATATTTCTATGCATTACAGTATGTGATATATAGTCGTATGAATAAAAACATGAGTTTTCTCAGAGAGTTAAAGAAAGTAGACAGGAAAAGGAAATCTGAAAATTGTCAAAAGGTTTCAGGAGTATTATCTTGGATTTGGAATTCGATTTTTAATCAAAAAAGTACTGCAAACAACCATATGGGTTCACAGTAAGCCCTGTACCATGGGATCACGATGGGGTTTAAGTCTGAGATTGTGAAAATGATGCTCAGACAGCCTGTGATTGTATATTACTTTCTCGAGCCTGTGGGAAAATACTGCATGAGAAATGAAAGTCTGTGATTGCGGTAAAAAAAAAACCTTTGTGCAGAAAGATACTTTTTGTTCCCTGTTCCTGTCCAGACCAATTTACCTTTAATGTGCACCCGCCTGTTTCTGTGAATGTGGCTTAATTGGGTGGTACAACCTGCCTCCTGATTTATGTAATAGTGAGTAGGCGGTTCTATTTCAGTCTAGTTAGATTGAGGTGGGATCAAAAATTGTGAGTGTATTTTTAAGTACTCCACCAACTGAGCTATAACATTGTCGGCTCATGATAGACAGCTTAAAAAGTTTTTCATTTAAACAGTAGTACTCTCAAAGGCTTGTAAGCACATGATAAGGAAACATTGATGGAGTTACCTTTTAAATTAAACACTGAATCTTTGAGTTTTCATTTTACACACTGTTTCCTGCTGTTAATCAGTACCTGTGTATTCCCAAAAGTGAACAGACTGTTAGCACGATTTACCTTACGAGATAATTTGTGCACATACTTTATTTATATATTCTCAAATTGCTTCTAGAACCACAAATCGTTTTATACACATCTGGGAATTTTATGTGCTCAGAAAAATCTTATTTTAGACGTTTCACGCACTCGAATTCCCGATGCGTTTGAACAGGCTTACAATAAACAACATTCACAACTGCAGCCTGTGAACTGAATCTCATTTCCCAACATTATGCTTGAACAACATTTCAAAACTCACAGTCTTTTAGCCCAAGTGTCAGACTTTACCATATCTCTCTTTGATGGAAAACTCTATTGGGCCTGTATTGATCCCACACTTTTCACAGTCTCTGTGCACTATAAACTATTTTCAATTCTACTATTTTTATTTTTCAAGTAATTCTGATTTATTAACATTATATCTGCACAGAATACACATATTAATAAAACAAATAAATTCCGACATGCTTCACTTTTGGCTGTCAAGTTTGATGTCTGCAGAGGTCCCCGTGCATTCTCTGTACACGCTTTGCTTGAAGCTTAAAGAATTATTAAAGAGGTGGAATGTTTTATTCAAATCTTGAGGAAAAAACAAAAATGTTGAAGTCTTTGCTATCTCTGCCCTAGTTTAGGTTGTGAGTGTTTTGTAAACAACAAAGGGCAAATTTCAGAATGTCACGGGGACCTGTATTCTGATTCAAAGAAAGGTCAATGTAATAAGCAAAAGGCAATGGCCTGTACGTGACAGTTATGAAGCATTATGGGAGAAAGAATTCCCTAATGGTTGCATGTTAACTCAAATCAGAGTTGTTACAGTATGTCCGTTTCTCTTCCTCTTTCCCTCTGTGAATAGGCCTTTTTACATTACAACATCATATATATACAATATTGATATCACATAGGGAAGTGGACTGGACTGAACAAGGGTGAAAAGCTAATATTGATCCCAAAAGAGAAACACTGGTCATCACACGCTCATCAATATGCAAACTGTAGCCATCAAACAGGCAGGCTCCCTTACTCATGACTCTTTGAAATCCTTGAGATTAAAATATGATTTATGTGGGTTATTCCTCAGCTGTAATGATTCGTTTCTGTCCCTGTTCTGGCGCATCCATCACATGTGTCATTAGTAAGTTTGTCATTGTTTTTTCAGCAGATTTCTAGTACTGTTCATACATCCAGCATGAACATGTGTGAGATAGAGATTAGGAGAGATAGTGTGGCAAATTAATCCATTTGATTAATTGGTTACAGTAGGTTACAGAGGGCAGCTCTATTGCAAGGTTGCGATGGTGATAAAGCCACCTCATAATGTGTGAAACTCACATGAGAGAGTTCATTCACATGTGTTCCCGTCTCTGTCCACACACATCCAACAGCTGTACACAAAGTATTTGTGTGTGTGTGTGTGTGTGTGTGTGTGTGTGTGTGTGTGTGTGTGTGTGTGTGTGTGTGTGTGTGTGTGTGTGTGTGTGTGTGTGTGTGTGTGTGTGTGTGTGTGTGTGTGTGTGTGTGTGTGTGTGTGTGTGTGTGTGTGTGTGTGTGTGTGTGTGTGTGTGTGTGTGTGTGTACGTGTGTGTGTGTGTGTACGTGCCACAGGGGAGAGTTTTTAGCCATCTGAGTCCTGCTGTCTTTCTCTGTCAGAGACCCACAGTATTCTGTTATCTGTTACTCATTAATTTCATTCAATGGAGATCAAATGGATGCCTATCTTGTTCACACTGTGGTAAATGGACTTGCATTGCAAAAACTGAGCAATAGGTTTTTCATGTTTCATGCTGTCTTTTCTCCTTCTGGTGTACTTCCATTAGCTTATTGAAGCCCATTAAATAATGTGAATGACATTTGTTTATTCTTTTTAAAATTTGGATCTACTATATTCCGCAGTTTTAGAAAGGCATATCCATTACATTACAATTACTATAATGTAAAAAAAAAAATGGCATGAAAGTTCCAGTCTATTAGTTTGCACAAAGGAGAGTTGCATTCAATAAATATCACGCCTCACTGTTTGTCCAGTCAGAAACTTTCCATGTACCAGTGTGGCTTCATTGGATAGATGAAAAAACATTACCCAGTCGATTGATTTCATTTCAAAAATTGGCAGCCAGCCAAACGAGGACCTGAGCTACTGCAAAACCCCATCAAAATTCAAAATTGTTGTTTTCAGGACTGGGATTTGGGGGGGTTTAAAGTAATACATTTTTCAACTTCACTCTGGAAATGTCAGCTTGATGGGTTTGAGGTATTTCTTCAATTCCCAAAATGTATTGAAGCCGAATTTTGAATGAGTGCAAAGTGTGCAAAGTGTGCACATGTGCTGTCACAGCTTGCAGGGCTGTCTGTTTGTCTCTGGGTGTGAGAGCAGAGCCTTCCTCCGTTGGGGGCGAAGACAGAAAAGACAAGTGTTGACAAAGGGTGTTAGAAGAAGGAGTGCTGGTTTCTAAAAATGGCATGTTTGCTGAGGGCCCGTTATGGAATGATGGTGGCTGTGTGACCTTTTCCTGCAATGCACTGTTCGATTGCACTGGCTTTGTTGTCCCATGATATTAATAAATCAATTGTACATGTTTCAGTCAATATTCAAGATACAATGAACAAGCATAGAAGTTTGTGTTTTTTATTGTTGCTCCAGTTAGAAATCATATGACAGCTATTCCCCTTATATGGCTTGAAAAAAAAATAGGTTACACAATGACATAACAGACAGTAGTTATTGTGAGTAAATCCTTATTTGCTACTGACAGCATTTTAAAAGAAGGGGGAGTGTATTGGACCATGACATACATTTTGTGATGGCGTGGGTGAGGATTGTTTAGAGAATATTTACCTATCTTCAATAAAACCGGGGGATGTACTGTTGCAGATGTGCTGCACTCTGTAGATCATCGATTTTTATCAGAGTAACTCGCTCTATGTTCTGCTGAACAAGCCCCACCTCCCCCCCTCCCCTCTCCCCCCCTCCACCCCCTTTCAGCTTGTGACCGCTGCTCTAGATTTACTCCTAATTTGCTTAATTGAAGTTAGCCTGCATAGCAAGCTCAAGGTGACACTGTGATATGCACAAGCACGGACATGTGAAAGTGTGTGAGTTTGCACCGTGGTATTAGTCTATCCATTAACTGCAAAGATATTGTATGCGTCCAAAATAATCCTACTTCCACGCAACGGCTCATTACCCTAAAACAAATGCATCATTGCCATTCAAGCACAGTAACAAAGTCAACGAATCTACACATAAATAGTTCCTTATACTGTACCTCTTTATATGTGTATTTGTGCATGTGCTTTTGTGTGTATTTCTGCGTCTTAATGTGCCCATGTATGTAGAAAATAATAGTATGTTAACTTGTATCAAATCAATACATTTCTTTCTGTATTTGTGTGCTAGAACACGAGATCCACGTTTTCCAGTGTTTGGATGCTTTTGAGAGATGTTACATATTATACAAGGATCGTGATGAACAAAATCAATTTATTCTGTAATACAAAGCCTGCTTACAATATTGTAAAACTGTCATTCATTAGGGCTGAATTTGCTTATGGATTATTGCCTGCATATTTAATCCTTGTTTGCCTTCTGGCCAGGATAATGTCACGGGAGCTTTTGATTTTAACTAGCAAAGTTTTTACTCAATTAACAAAGCAGATATTAATTACCACAAACTGTTTCTGTGTGTGTGGAGAATAAATAACAACAAATTAAAACCCTTAAAGGTCACCTATTATGCAAAATCCACGTGTTCATGTATTTTCTACATCAACATGTAAAGTTTACATCTCTGTGTAAAGAGATTCTGAAAGTTTCAGGAAAAAAGATTCTCTCTCTTTTTGTCCTGACCCATTTATATAAAAACCTGTCTGAAAATGAGCTGATCAGATTTTGGCCACTTGATGATGTCATAACGATGTTTTGGCTTGTGTAACCATTAGCCAATCACCAACCAAGGTAACCCCCCCCCCACCTTATCACCTGAATCTCCTCCTAGAGCACCATTGTGTTCTTTTTAACCAAATATCTCTCAGAGGGGCGTGGGGAGGGGCTCCTTATTTTCATCTAAAGTAACAGACGGAGAATCAGCACTTTTGAAACAGGGCTGAAACAGAGGGGATTATGGGATGCTACAACGATCTGTTGGGTGTTTGGAGCCAAACACTTCAGAGACATGTTTTGTATATATCTGAGACCTATAATATATTGATGAAAAACAGTATAATAGGGGACCTTTAAATAAAAAAGAGAACATCAGAGGAAAATGTGTGTGATCAAAACTGCAGCTTGCTAGGGTTTGTCAAGTTGTCATCGGAATAATCTGGTTCGATCACAGTTACTATCAATAGCCTCACTCCTTTCGCTCTGTCATGGTGGCGTGCTGGCCAACCGAATGACCCTCAGCTATACAGTTCCATATGAACATGTGCCAAGTGCCGTCATCTCTGCCAGGACTGCAGGGTTAGTCTGTACGGGTGCGTGTTAGTGCTCGCATACGCTCATTTTTAAGTGGAAGACTTCCTGATTAGTATTGAGTTTGGCTTTTAAAAATATATTAATAATAAAAAAGCTTTATTTATATATCACTTTTCATACAACACATGCAGCTCAGAGTGCTTTACAAAATGACACATCACAAGTTAAAAATACACAACAAGAAATTCCCCTCAGATTATTTGTTAAGAACTTTACAGGTACATGCAAACACATATAACATTTTAACAGGTTAATAGACACAAGGAGGTAAAAGGTATGATAATACAAATAAAATAAATAATACGGATAAGACACAAGACAACTGAATCGATGCGACAATATAAAACCCCATAAAACAAAGAACAACAGAAATACAAATAAAAAGATAATAGTAATAAAAATGCCATAATTCTAATAAAGGTTAAACGATTAAAATATTAAAAAACAACGTAAAAATAAATATTGCTATTGAAACATGTTAGATTAATAATAAATAAGATAAAATCCTTTAAGACCTATAAAATAAATAAAACAATGTAATAAAGACTAAAAGAACATTTAAAGTGGGGGGTTGCTAATAAAATGCTAATCTAAAAAGATGTGTTTTTGGTTGGTGTTTAAAAATGTCCACTGAGTTGGCCTCTCTGATATTTCCTAGTGCTTCTTTGATGAAACTTGTATAAACACTAAATTATGAAGAGACGAGGTCTGTAATCTGCACGTCTGCGTTTGTGTAATCTGAAGTTGTTCTTTTTATGATTCTTAGGGCTGATCAAGACAACCGCGAGAAAACTGGACAGAGAACAACAGGCGGAGCACTTCTTAGAGGTACAGAATAACCGGAACAGTGTTTATTGGTTTTTAGTATTATTATTTATCTGGCCGTGCCTCCTGCCACTAGCCACCATTAACAGAGACGGTGTGGAGGACAAACCTGGCAGGCCCTCAACACTCCATAAACTCTGATGAATGGCTGTAGTTTTGGGCCCCAGGTTTAGGAATTTCTAAATATAATCATTCATCATTGGTTATCTTCTCTACTCAGGACGGGAAAATGGAGGAGAGGAGTTTCTCTGCCCAGCGTTTGATAAGCGCAGACACTGGGCACACAGATAACTGTGATTACCATGCTCCTGCTGCTCTGCATGCAGATGAACATGATAATCAGAGATTCTCCACCTCAGAGACCTGAGCAAACTTCTACTTCCCCAGACTTCTCTTACACATTATTAAATGCTGTTGAATCTGCGAGCACTTTGCCCTTCTGCAAAATGGAATGAAATAACCCCCAGTTCACCCGCAGTATTGCAGCGTGGTGTTTTCTTTCCGTATTGCCAATTGACTTGTCTACACACAATAACTCTTTGTTCTGCTTTGTTCAGCTGCAGTATGCAATAAGAACCCAGCGTATGGCACCACACTACAAAATAAAAAAGTTGGGCAAGGACGCTTCCACCTTACAGCATCATATACCTAAACATTGACACCTAACGGGAGTTTAAAATTGGGGGCAGAGAAGTCTTTGTTGTTACATCCTCCTGTCCTGTCCTGTCATGAGATTTCGATAGAAATGCCGCTCCATGCGTGCCACCCACTGCTCCGCCTGCCAGTCTCTGCTGCCGGCTGGTAATTAATAGTCTAGTGAGCAGTCGGGCTGGCAGCGGCGGTGTTCACCCTTATCTGATCCAATTGATCAATGATCAGACCTCTGCCTCCGCCTCCAGGAGATCAATAACACAGAGAGATTTCCCATCAGCTCAGCCACACAGTGTGAGATTTAAGATGTTAATAAATTCATGCAAGAAGAGCACATGACAAACCATGTTCAAAAGACATTAATTAACTCATTAACTCATTATGTCTTCTCATACACTTCCTCAGGTAACAGTGATAGACGGCCCAGTGACCACCCGGCAGTCCACTGTTTGGGTCATAGTTCACGTCGAGGACGAGAACGACAACCCGCCCACTTTCCCCGAAGTCACCTATCGCATCAGCTTGACCGAACGAGACCGCAACAAACGTGGCGAACAGGTGTACCGTGTCTTCGCTTATGACCGTGACCTAGGAGCCAATGGCAACATCACCTACAGCATTGTCGATGGTAATGAGGAAGACAAGTTCAGTATTGACCCCAGGACTGCCATGGTGTCATCCAAGAAGATGGTGACAGCGGGAAGCTATGACATCCTCACCGTGAGTGTCATTTTCCGAGTTTTGTTTTATAAATACATTTTTACTGAAGTGCTATTTGGTCTCGACTCATTATCAACATGGCAAACAAAAGGATACATCTATATTCAATCATATTGTCTTACTATGGATAAGACTGTCACCTCTCTGAGGAACAGTGCTCCTCTCTTTCCACTTGCAAAGTGCTGTCCCAATTTCCTTTCTTCAAAGTAGATTCATAGCCACTCGGGTTCCATTAGGTTAGTGGATCTGCTTCCATATATTTGCAAATTTGGCAGTAACAAACACAGTCACGTAGTTCATTTTTCATCTGGCAGAAGCCCAGGTATGAGAGCTTGTTCGTTTTTGATGTTTCCATGGCCAAATGTGCTCAAAAGCGCCAAGGTGGATGGAGTGGCACAGCTGAATTTGTGGTCAGGTGGCACAAATCATTTATGATTCTCCGGCAGTAAATGGCAATCCTTAAACACGAGCACATATTGCAATTTTTGAGGTTGTATTTGTATATCAAATTATTCATGCTGACAATGTATTCACCCTGCTCGAGTCCCTTTTACGGGTGCGCTACGAAGACTTGATTTCTCTTATTCGTCTGGTTCACTGATTAGTCGCTCACGCCCATGAGCCCTTTGAGGTTGTGCTCACTTTCAGTGGAAAATGTGTGACATGAAAGTGAGATCGACTATGAACACACCGATTTTCTCTCTTTCAACTGTGTTTCTTTGTTTTTGAATAATGCATTTGGCTCACAGGTTCTGCTCTTAAATGAGCACCACTTAGCGCTACGTTTTACAATTACCTTTCAGATGCTCTAGGTTCCTCCGAAGAGTAAGATGTTTTCCTGTGTAATGTGTGAAAAGTAGAGCGAGGTAGTTAAAGTCAGGCAGGGACAGCCATCCCATTAAACTGTAATTGCTGGAATCAATTTTGAGGTTAGTAAAATATTATTTATGGATAGGAGGTTGTCGCTTAGGTGCAGGTGTTAGTAAATGTAGATGAGTATAGAGCTCATTGGCATAGTTTTGACATAAATGTGGCCAGAATACTAATACCTTCTCAATGCTTTCTTGCCCTGAATACATGCATACCAACATAATGTTAAACACTCCATTCGCTTGTTTGCCTGTCTGGTTTATCATTGTTAAATGTTCCCCAAATGCCTGATTCATTAGCTCCCGCATGTGTCAGCTGAATATTTGATTTCTCCTTATTGTTCCGTCTTTCAGATAAAAGCTGAGGACAGCGGTGATCCCCCATTATGGTCTACTGTCAAACTCCACGTAGAATGGATTCGAAAACCCGTCCCCTCGCCTGTAACTCTACTATTTACCCAGAGGTCCTACAATTTCTCTATTTCGGAGACAGCTGTCGTGGCTCAGCCGGTGGGAGTAGTGGCTGTCAGCCAGTCGAGCACACCTGTCTGGTTCAATATTATCGGTAAGAAAATTAATGTGTGACAATAAACCAACAAAGAATAATTGGTATTCATAATATTTCAGGTGACCAATTCATTCAAATGCACCCCGGCCACAGTATCAAATTGAACTAAATGAGCCTTGTCATGTGTCATATTAAAATGTTGTATAATTGATGTATTTAAAAGGGAATTTTGGATTTATTCAACTATCTATCATAACTGTAAAGCGGCGGTCAGAATTGTATTAGTATTTCCATCTGTATGCTGGAGTTTTATAATAATATATATAATAATAATAGTTTTGAGCGATGTTTTTCCGGTCAGACCTATCCTGGCTGAGCCAAACCAACACAATGGAAGTGATGCATTTCACACCATGCAGTGTAATAGTTTGCAAGTGTTACAATTGTTGACTCTGCAGGCTTTCCCACAGACTTCCATAACAGCTTTGGACATATTTCAGCTGATTTATATTACCCCTTAATGCAGTAAATGTACTGCAGACAGTTTCTCATGATCCAAATTTGCTTGTTAAAATCGAAAGGCTCTCTTAATTGTACACAGGTAAAAGTGAATTGTCTAAATAAAAAATGTCTTCAAATGTATTTTGCCAAAAGCACACTGGCAAACAAATTACAATACAATAAAGGTTCCTGTTGTTTATTTTGCTTTTTTTTTTTTAAATAACTGGTTTTATATCCATCTGCCTGTTGAAAAATGGGAAGCTTGCCCCTTGATTCAGAATTGTTTAAGTATCTGTAAAAAGCTGATTATTGATTGCTACCCTGATTAAATAATTCAAACAGAGCTTGAATGTTCATTTAGGAATTAATACAAAACTAGTTGATGAGTTGATTATTCGTCTTTATGCACGCATAAAAGAAACAGAAAATGAGAAGAACATGATGAACATGAACATTTTTCATTACTTTTCCACTATTACTGTTAATGTCAGTGAAGTAATTGTGCAGCTCATTAATATTTCGCTTTTTTCTTTTTCAAAAAGTTAACGCATAGTTATATTATTTTTTCTCTGACCTTGAATATCATCCCTGAATGAATCACATTCCCGCCACTGCGCACAAGTATTGAGTCCTCTTGCAGTATTTAATGACGCACAGAAATGTGCGTCATTAAAGAGGTTGACTTTTCAGAGTGCTGTAGATGAGGCAAACCTTTGATCACAACGACATCCTTGATTTCCTAAATTCAACTAACCTCTTTTTTCTTTCTCTTTCTCTCTTGTTAAGGCGGACGTCTTGCCAGAGAAACTTTCTACATTCCTCAAAATGCCTGTGGAAGAAACTGCTCACTTGAAACAGGTCTGGTCAAAGCATATTTTGCCAAATGATTTTCCTAAATTGCCCCAGGTCTGAAGAAAAGTAGAAAATTCAGGAAATGCAGCAAACAGTGCCAGGGCTGTGTTTAGCCAAAGGCCGTATTGATTGATCTGTGTTTGAAAAAGCACTCCACACGTAGTAGTAGTTTGTTATTCTGGTCCAGGCAGCATAGGTTCAAATCATTAGTTTAGCCACTGTGCTTTTCCACTCTTGTGTGACACATTCAGCCTCTTACTGTAGCATTCTTACATCCGAGAGCCTTTTTCTAAATGGAAATACATTTGAAATAATGACCTTTACCACTTAAGTTACAATATAAGTCATCCTGAGGATTTTGTGTGCAGTTACAGACAACCCCAGGAAGCTCTGTTACAAAAGAGGGAAACTGTATGGTACTCTGTGTCAACAATGTTATTGCATAAGTTCTCTCACCTTTACCAAATTTCATTTTCAGTACGTATGTATTGTGTTGTGTGGTGTGATTAAACTGTGTCATAGTCATAGCCTAACTATACACTCTTAAAGGCTGGCAGATTATGTAATAAGAACAAAACAGGGACCCACTCAAGATAAATGTTGTTTATCTCACTGTTAGCAAATCAAGCTGTTCAAGACTAAAAGTACGTCAGTCGTTGAAACAGTTTGTCAAAATTAAAAACATTTGCTGCTACTACACTTTGTTTTTTCTAGACTGTAAAACAGTATTAACAGTTTAGGTGTTTAGATCAGTGTATGTTTGGAAAATATGCTACCAAAAATAGTCAAACTAAGTCTGAAGACCCCCTAGAGGCAACTCTAACATACAGAAGGGAAACAGCACACTTCTTTTTATTTAGAGACCACAGACTGTGACTTCGTTTTTTTTAATGCTGGGTGATCACAGTGTAATATTGACCAACCTAACCTGAATTAAAAAGCGAATCCCAGCGGTTTGGTGCGACTCAACATGCTTCAGTGCTCCTGTGAAAAATGGCCAATCAGTATTCATATGCTGAAGAGAGCTCAGCTCCCAGATATCTCTGGAGAGAAGCTGGAATGAGACGAAGGATGGCACTGAATACCGAACACATATCAATCCTCTCCCTCGTCCTAATCAAACATTAAGCCTCTAAACTGTACTCGCCGCCCGTGGAAAGACCCGGCTGCAGGTTTTTGATCCCTGAGATGGGTTGTGTTTTGGAGTGATAAGACAGATGTTTGTGTGGCTGTTAACAGCTCTCTGGCTGCCAAGTGGGTTCGATGCTACATTGCATTGCTTTTCAGTTCATTTTATTTCACAGACCCTACAGCTCCAGACGCAGGAACCTGGCCAAAACAATTACACAGTAATAACTTAGAGCACCTGAGTTTAGCACGCTCCCTGAATACTAAATGACTGAAACTCTGTGTGTGATATATGTGTATGTATTTGTGTGTGATTCCAGGGAGCTTTGACATGCAGTATGACCTTCAGGTGGGGGTGGGAACTCTAGTTGTGGCCAAGCCCCTGGATGCAGAGGTGCAGTCTGTGTACAACATGACTATTCAAGTGACAGATGGGACCAACTTTGCCACAGCTCAGGTGAGCACACTTGATGATTTGTTATGCACTGGCACTGCCTCTTACACACTCCAGACCCACATCAAATTAAATTATTGTTACCTCTTCCTCGGGGAGCTGTATACTCTCAGCATCTCTCCCTCCTACGCTTGCACTCCCTTCCCCTGAAATGATCTCTCACTGACTATGAAATGTGGTTTTGTCTTTGACATTTCCTCCTGCTGTCTTGGCTGGACTACTCGTTCTGCCTCGTAAGGGAAATCCTTGATATCAGTGGATTAATGGGATTAGACTGTGCAAATAAAGGTCATGTGCCAAAGTTACATTCTTTATTGAAAACACCCTGTCCAATTTGTAAAAGATACCTAAGGCTTTGACTAAGGAGATTTAGTGTGAATAGAGCTGGTATTTCGAACTTGCAAATGAAAAATGAATGTGATAACCCGACACCTCGACGGTATCAAATATTATCAGTATTATCAACATGGCTCTTATCTATAAAAAAAATATACTGAGCACTCTCATTGCTGTCGTGGATCCGAAACCTTAAACACTCAAGACACAACCAAATATAACGAAATAGAAACACAGACACACTGCTGATTGAAGGAATTATTATATTGTTGTACAACAGTATAAGAGCCAGAATACTTGCGTCAAGTCCGCTAAGAGTATAGATGTCTGTCTAAAGAATAACAGAATCTCACAGGTTTTATACACTTCTTTTTAGTTTACACAGCCCTACAACTTTTGACCTTTTACAATCACATGTTACAAGATCCTATGCTCAATAACACACTGCAGACAGACATGTGCACATTCATGGTACAAAGTCTCTTTAGATAAACTAAAGGATGAAACTCACGAGCATGACTTAGAACACATGATCATATAATATAGATTATTTCAACATTACTTATCTGAATTACTTTTCTCCCTCTGTCTCTTTGTCATTCAGGTGTTTATCCGAATATTGGACAGCAACGACAACCCTCCGGTCTTCTCCCAGCCAGCCTATGATGTCAGTGTCTCAGAGGACGCACCAGTAGACATGGAGCTGCTGCGGGTCAGAGCCTCGGACATGGACGAGCGTGCCCGTTTGAGCTTCTCCATCTATGGCAGTGCAGACCCAGTCAGTATGAGGCTGTTCAGGGTCAACCCTGGCACCGGGGTGGTCTACACCGCAGACCGGCTGGACTACGAGGCCAGAACACAGCACATCCTCACTATCATGGTGGGAACACAAATATTTGTTTTGGGGTTTGCTTGTTTGGCTGTTACCACTAATCTGTGTGTGTGTGTCGTTACCTGGGCCCTCTTCAAAATGATGCTCCTCTCTGCAAATGTGCCTTCTTTTTTGGCTAATTTCTTTCTTTTCTTTTTTTTTACTGCATCCTAAAATGGTATCCATATTCATCTCTCATTTGACTCCAGGTCAAGGACCAGGAGTTTCCATTTAACCGCGACCTGGCTCGTATCCTGGTGGCAGTGGAGGACTCTAATGATAACATCCCCTATTTCACCAGCACTGTATATGATGCTGTGGCCTATGAGTCATCTCCTATAGGCACTCCTGTCCTACAAGTGACAGCCTTAGACAAAGACAATGGGATTAACGGGAAACTCTCCTATACCTTTGAAGCAGGTTTGATGCTATCTTATTTTAATGTATGTATTTGCTTCTATTTTGTGAAGTGTTTTGACCTGTGATGGGCTTTGTAATGTTGTGTCACAGGAAAACAAATTGGGATTCAAGTCCTGTTTATTTACTAGTAACGATGTCTGTAACCTTTCTGCTGCTTTCAGGGAACACTGCTGGTGTGTTTGGCATTGATAATGCCACAGGAGTTATTTTCATCGCCAGGGACCTGGGCCTCAGCTCTGTGGGATTTTACACCTTAACTGTGCGAGTCACAGACAGTGGATTTCCTCCATTAATGGCCACAGCTTCAGCTCGCATCTCATTGATACTCTCCGACTTTTCGCAACCCAAATTCTCTCTGAATGAGTATCAGGCCGAGGTAAAGAGAAACAGATTGCTGACTGAAAGGATGGGTGCATGGGGGATAAGATTGATCTTTATTGATCCCCATAGGGAAATGCAGGTGTCAAAGCAGCAACAGAACAAGACAGAAACACAGATAGTACACATGGGATTATAAGAATACAAATAAAATAATAAAACATCAAATTAAAATAAACATGTAGCAATAGTATGAATAGAAATATAACAGTTAAACTCTATACAGGTGAATGTACATATATTCAGATATGTATAAAGGTTAAATATACATACATACATACATACATACATACATACATACATACATACATACATACATACATACATAATATATATATATGTAAATGTGCAGGTAGCAGTGTGGTGAAAGTATTGTGTGCATACTGTGCAAATATTATTGATATTATGAACTGATACTGATGTCTCTGATTTTACAGATAATGGAGAACAGCTCCATTGGAACGCATGTGATCACCGTTAATGCGCTCAGCCGCTCAGCCGTCATATATGAAATCTCCAGGGGCAACGACGAGAACTGCTTCTTCATCAACCATCACACGGGTGTAATCACCACACGCAGACCCCTTGACTTTGAGGTTTGTTGACGCTTCTGTTTCATCTGCTGAAGCTCTCAGTGTTGACATGATTGTTTTACAAGGAGTGCACATAACATTTTATTCTATCCCTTTCGACTACTCACTGAATTTATTTGTTTTGACAGCAAACTACATCCTACTTTCTGGTGGTGCATGCCCTGAGCATGGCGGGAGTCGAGGCCAGCACCACCGTCATCGTCCAGGTGGGGGATGTGAATGATAACCCACCAGTCTTCCGGGAAATCAGGTATCAATCACCACATGCCATTTTCCAGATTTGTAAGCATACTTTTTCGCCTTTTGCAGCAGTGTTATCTTTTCACCTCAACAGGTATGTGGGAGTAATCAGTGAGGCTGCTCTAGTCAACACGGTGGTCTTGGGAGAGGATGGGAACCCTCTCGTCATCCAGGCGACCGATAGGGACCGAAACCACAACGCCCTGTTGGTGTTCCAGATCATAGACGACACCGCTCGTATGTTTTTCAGCGTGGACTCTGGGACTGGATCGATCCGGTGTGTGAAATTGTAGAATCCACAAATATTGGGCGTATGATTAACTTTCTTATAAACCAATATGTCTCATGATTTTGTGATTATGTGGATGTTTGTTGAATTTTAGAACGATCTCCAGCCTGGACTATGAGAACTTCTCTGAGTTTGTCTTCCGGGTTCATGTAAGGGACAGTGGTTTTCCTCCATTGAGTGCTGAGAGCCCCGCAGAGGTGATTATAAAGGTAAGGTCCCCTTTCAGTGCTTTAAAAACCTACCTGACTCAATTGTATTTGTTGTATTTTATTTGTGGATATGGTTTTCAATCTTAGGTGATCAACATCAATGACTCACCTCCAAAGTTGTCACAGGACACTTACGAGGCGGTCCTCCTCCTACCGACCTACATAGGAGTCGAGGTCCTCAGGGTAGAGGCTTTGGACCCCGATATGACCTCTGACCCCACCCTGAGCCCTGACAAATCCATCACCCCTCAGCTGGTTTACTCTCTGGTGGACAGCAATGCGGAGTTCTTCTCTGTGGAGCGCTACACTGGTGTTGTGACCGTCGTCAATCAAGACCTCAGTAAAGACCGTTACCGCTTTAATGTGAAGGTAAGTGATTAGCTACACTTGTTCAGCGGACATGACACATAAATATCATTTTTATGTATCCTGTCACCAGCTTAGATTTACAGCGTGTAGTTGGCTTCAACTGGCTTGCATAATAATGATTCCCACAGGGATGGCAGAGCACTGGGTCAGCTGCAAACCTATTGTTATTCAGCGTGTTGCTATGAAACACTTCAGCTAAATGACGCAGGGTGTTATGCCCTGGTAGATTGGTAATAACTAATGTTTTTTCTGTTGTGTTATGTTTTGCTAAGAAGATAAACAATGCTATGCATACATAGTGTCATTGAGTACACGATAAAACCCCAGCATCACATCCTCTGCATTAGCTTATTGGGGGTCAGCTGTCAAATAAACAAAAAATAATGCTTTCCCACTCAGCGCTGAATGCCCATAAAAAGGCACTCATGCTCTTCTGTATGTGTTGGTTTTAAGGTTTGGGATGGGCGTTTCTCCAGCATGGCGTCGGTCACAGTGCTTGTCCGAGAAGCGATAGATAGCGGCCTTCTCTTCACCTTCCCTGTCTACTCCGCCTCCATCCCAGAGAACATACCTGATGTCACTGTGGTCACTGTTGTCAACACAGTCGGCCACCGTCTCAACGAACCGCTGAAGTACACTCTGCTGAACCCCAGCGGACGCTTCATCATTCGGCCAACTTGCGGGGTGGTGCTCACCACTGGAGTGCCTTTTGATCGGGAGGAGAAGGACAGTTACGAACTGGTGGTGGAGGTCCGCAGAGAAGATGAAATAGTGAAGGTGGCCAGGGTGACCGTACAAGTTCAGGTGGGTGTCTCTTTTTTTAACTTTCTTTACACAGAGTCCATTGGATCTTCTTAAAAGCCTCTTAGTCTATCACGTACAATGTGTTGAAGCGCTAGCTAATAGAAGAGCGAGTATCACATAGTTATCTCATTATGTTCCTGAAGATAAAAGCAATCCAATTGAGGTGTTGTGGAGAAACTCCCTTTGGCATGGACTTTGGGAACAGACCGTTTACATGCATAAAAACACATTACACTCTACAAGAAAGGGAAAACCCAAAAAAGAATATTAGAGCCTCTTTAAAATAATGATTCTTTCTGCAGGTGGAGGATGTGAACGACAATGCTCCAGAGTTTGTGAACCTCCCTTACTACGCTGCAGTGCAGGTCGAAGCAGAGCCTGGATCAGCTATTTTCAGAGTGTCCGCCACCGACTTAGACTACGGTCTTAATGGAGAAGTGACATACAGTCTTAAGAAGCAGCACAGGAACTTTCAGGTAACAGCTACAAATTCCTGCTTTAAATGTGTTCTTACGGGGTGCTATATATTTGAAAAAACATTCTAGTACATTCTCATGCTCCTTATGTCATAAAACAACTATTCTTATTGGTTGCAGGTGAACCCACTGACAGGAGAGCTGACGTTAAAGAGGGCCTTTGAGGCTGACCTCTCCAACGCAGAGTACAAGCTGGTCCTTGTGGCCAGTGACGGAGGTTTCCCACTTCTTTCCAGTGAGGTGGAGCTGCCTGTTACCATAGTGAATAAAGCCATGCCGGTGTTTGACAAACCTTTCTATGGTCTCACTGTCAGAGAGGATGTAGCCGTCTCCACCTCTGTCCTGTGTATCAATGCCACCAGCCCTGAAGGCCAGAGCATCATCTTCACCATCACAGACGGAGACCCTTCACTGCAGTTCGACATTGGCTTTGACACAGGAATCATCATCGTGATTTACCTGTTAGACTACGAGAGCACGCAGTACTACCGGCTGACGGTGAAGGCTACAGATACGCTGACCGGGGCAAAGTCTGAGGTCGATGTGGACATCATCGTGCTGGATGTGAACGATAACCCGCCACTGTTTCAGAACACTTCATACTCCTCTGTGATCGCTGAGAACTCCATGATTGGGACAGCCGTGTTACAGGTGTGTGTGTGTGTGTGTGTGTGTTTATTGATTGAGTGAGTCCAGTGTGTACTCATATTAAATAACTGTTAACACTTAGGACTCACTTCAACAGTATTGTGGATGAATATTAGAGTGATTGCTTACTGATTTATTTATGAGATGATAGTGTAATATTTCCCTGTGGGGGCCCTTGACCTTTGGCAAATAATGGACCAGTGATGTTCTCTCACTGAGAAACATGTTGCCTCGAGCTGAATTTAAGACAACAGATTTATGAATATATTGGTATCAAAATAGGTCAATGACCTTGTTTGACTGTAGTATTGATTTTTAGAAAGAATCAGTATCTAACAATATTGTATAGGCTAATACAAATGTTTTTCATTCCTTTAAATACACTTTGGCTTGCTCACTGGTATTCTAGTGTTGTATACTAAAGTATCCATGCTTTGTAAAAGCAGGTTGTGGCTTTTCACTTAAAATATTAAGTTTTCTGCCACCTACTGTACATGCAAAAATGTGCTTCACTCAATAAATATGCATATTCATATGATCTAAAATACTAATAATATAAATGACAATGGTTTCAGAATACAGTATAATTGTCGGTTTCTGTTGATAAATGATTGCGCTTCAACAAAATGTTTATGCTGGACGCTTGACAATGTTTTGATTTAGATTTAAATGCTGGATCTCAATCCAAAACATTATTATACTTTTTTTCATTTGGACTCGGTGTTCAGTGACTTAGTACTGTAACGATTGAGTATGTCAGGGTAAACAAATCAGACCATATTCTGAATAATGCATGAGGCAGTGCAAATGTTTAATCTTTCTCTCCCTGTAGGTGTTTGCTCAGGATCAAGATTCAGAGAAAAACGCCGCGGTGAGTTACCAGATCCTATCTGACATCTACAACAGCACAGACTACTTCCACATTGACAGTAACAGCGGATTGGTATTCACGGCACGCCTGCTCGACTATGAGCTCGTCCAACGCTACAACTTCATTGTCAGGGCGACAGATAGTGGAGACCCTGCCCTCAGCAGTGATGTTAGTGTCACTGTGACTATAACCGATACAAACGACAACCCTCCTAATTTCAGCCAAGCGCTGTACGAGGCCTTTGTCAGCGAGCTGGCTCCCCGGGGGCACTTTGTGACTTGTGTTCAGGCGTCGGATGCCGACATCTGTGATGCTCAGAGACTCAGGTAAAATATGTTTTGTATACCTGTGGGTTTGATGTTTTTCTTCTAAAAGTGATAGTTAGAATGTGTGTGCATTGTTCCCCCCTGAATCCCGTCTAAATGTTTCTGTTCATTATATTCAGAAAAGCACACCTCTTATAGGAAATCTTAGTTTTGTGTTTTGAACGCAATCGTAGTGGTTTGGACTTTTGTTTGTCAGGCAAAAACAACAAAAGTAGGTACTTTGTGTTTCCAGCAGCTTCTGAGCAAAACAACATGAAACAAAGTAAACACCATTGTACTCTTTTTTTCCCAAATTGCTTTCAGGTACACTATTCTCTCCGGGAATGACAAAATGATTTTCATGATGGAGCCAGATACAGGCGTGCTCAGTCTGTCTAACAAGAGGAGACAAGGCATGAAACTCTCTTATCAACTAAATGTGTCCGTGTCAGATGGAGTCTTCACCAACACCGCTCAGGTGAGACAACGTACAATTGACTATTAACTGATTTGCTATTTTTTTAACCTTTGGAGTGTTTCATACCGAGCCAATCCCTTGCTTCAATTTTATCTCAAACATTTGCAGCTGTCTAGTACGACTGATGCCTCATACCATTGGCTGCTGAGTCGCTCTGCAGTTAGAGGTTAATGTGTGTTCGTGTCATATGAGATTTACTGTGAGGATGACCTGCCAACTGTAAAAAAAAACTGTCCTATAGTGGTAATTACAAGTAGGCTCTGATATCCGTTATCTCTGACAGTCTATATGACATGTTGTAGATACAACATGTCACCTCATTCTTTTGCTTCCCCTTCTGACATGATGTGAACACAGCAGACCTCCACAGTAGTTTCTCCCGCTGTTTACAGCTGCATCAATCACCATTAGATCACAGGCCTGATGCTTTTACTGCCGGTGTGCATGTCATATTGATGTGATCACGTTTGACAAATCGGTCAGTAATGATTATTGTGATGGCATCAAAATGAGAATGATATGTAGGGGGATGAGTATTATAAGGATGATTGTGATCTTCAGGTGATTGTACGTGTCCTCGGAGCCAACCTGTACAGCCCAGTGTTCAGCCAGAGGTTCTACCTGGCTGAAGTCCAAGAAAATGCTCCTCCGGGGTCAAAGGTCATTCAAGTAAGTTTGCCTAGTAAGATGGGTTGTTGCTAATGATGATTCAAAATGTGGAAATTATACAAAATCAATGCAAAAAGGAAATTGAATACCGTTAAAATTATCTTGCATTAATTACATTAATGCACACAATGCACAAAAATATGTTATTCCTTCTATTCCATACCATTGCAATGTAAATACTGTTATATTTGACTATATTTTTTAATTATTTTTTATATTTTTCTAGTTCTCTATCTGTGTTTTTAATTCTTGTTTTTATGCACCATGACATCAAGTCAAATTCCTCGCCCGTGTAAACCCACCTGGTAATAAACCTGTTTCTGATTCTGATTGAATAATTCTGAGAATGAGTGAATTTGTATTCCCTTTTGCAATACTTTTCTGCTCACTGCTCACTAAGTTGTCCGTCCATCAGGGCTTTTATTTGGAAGTTCCTACATGGAAGAAGTTGTAGAGCCTTGCAATGACCAATATGACATATATATGTTTTCTGTTTGGTCTCCAGGTCCGTGCAACAGATGAAGACTCCGGGCTGTTTGGCCAGATCAGCTACTCCTTCATCAATGACCTGGGGAAAACTCAGTTCACCATCGATGCAGATGGATTCATATCAACCGCTCAGAAATTAGACAGAGAAAACCCTCTTAACAAGGACATGGTGCTGACCATTATGGCCCTGGATGGTGGAGGTATAATTGTTGACACTAACCAGGCTGTAACACTGATTCCCTGACAAAGGCTATCTTCAAATCAGCCCATGTATATGACGTACACAATAGTCTAAGTTATACCTAAATCTGGCAGACCAAGCATGTAGCTCACATTAATGCACGAGTAGTCACTGTTCTTGCATGATGGATGAGGCATTAGCATTTTTGCATTAAAGATTCATTTCGTTTTGCCATTCGCTATAACCTCAAGTGATTGAAACAGTTTCACAAGGCTAATTATGTCTGTATGAAACACTTGTATGAATCACATAGACATTTATATCGTGTTTCTTTTCCAGGCCGGGCATCGTTTTGCACAGTTCGAGTGGTTCTTGCTGATGAGAATGACAACGCCCCTCGGTTCAGAGCCGTGGAGTACCGCATGAGCATTAAAGCTAATGTTGCTAAAGGTTCTCTGGTCACACAGATCCAAGCCACTGACACTGATGCTGGGTCTAATGGGAGGGTTACCTACTCCCTTTACAGCGAGGCACGCCTTTCACTGGTGGATGTCCTGGAGGTCAGTACATTTGGTTTACAACTTTATAATTTATACTGCTGTACTTCTCACAATATAATAATGCTATTTGCACTTCATAACTTAAAGGTAGGGTAGGTAAGTTTGAGAAACCGGCTCGAGATACACTTTTTGTTATATTCCATGGAATGCTCTTAACATCCCGATAGCAATGAATATCTTAAGTGCTTTGACAAAAAATCCATAAACAAATGTCATCTGTGGAAGCCGTAGTACTGTAAAAAGCACGACCAATCATCTGAGCCGGCCCGGCTAAAATAACTGGATGGCCTACCTGCCTGTCAGCCTTCCATCTGTGCACAAACTTATCTCGTGCCCTAATTGGTCATGTGCGCATTCGTGTGTGTTGGAGGAGGGGCTCTGTAAGGAAGTGGCAGATTTTCTCCAGTTGTGTATTTTCAAATTCTAGCGATCTCGAGCCGGTTTCTCAAACTTACCTACCCTACCTTTAATAGAGCAGCAAACATTTTCTCAGTCTTCTTTAAGAAAAAGAGAACAATTCTACAACAACCAATGTATTTAATGAGAGTTGACCATATTCAAACTCATATATACCATAGATCTTAATTAGGAGATGTTCTCAACAGACACCAGCTCCCCATTTCATTGGATTAACAGCCATCTGGTATCTGTAATTGTACATTTTTACTCATCAAGTTCAAATGATGTTACATTAAGATTGATGCCTCAGTTAGTTTTGCCTGCTCCAAAGGTAAACAAAAGTACAAGCTAAGAGAAAATGAAGAACTATACGAAACGTGAAGTACAAAAGGCTAATTTGATATGGATGAAAATAAAGAAAGTGATAGTGGAATACATATTACTATCTTTATAACTATGATTATTGTTACAGATGTGTATTTTGTAAATTGTGTAATTTTCTTTAATTTCTTTATATTTAATATTTGTTTTATGCATGCTTCTTAGTTAACATTAAGCTGTCTTTGGCTCATTTCTGCTTTAACAAATGTACATTTCCCCTCTGTGGGACGAATGATTCTGATTCTGATTGTATCTAAAGATTTAAAATTCCTTGTGGTTTCTGCCGGAGCCCAGGTGGAGGCGGACAGCGGTTGGATGATGACTAAAAGCACCGTGGACCACCTCCAGGGGACGGTGCTGTCCTTCTTCGTCAAAGCCACAGACTGCGGTTCCCCGGCCAAACACTCGCTGGTGTCAGCCTTCATCCACGTGGTCCCACCAGATGCATTTGTACCCTCCTTCAGCCAGCCTCAGTACTCCTTCACCATCCCAGAGGACACAGCAGCAGGGACAGCTCTGGGGTCTGTGTACATGGTCCCCGGACAGACTGGGAGCTTCTCTGCAGTTGGAGGAGAAACGCTCGACAGCAACCAGGGAGGGACCTTCCTGGTGGAGAGGGACACGGGGCTGATCCGTCTGATCAAGCCACTCGACTATGAGCTCATCAGCATCTTCCGCTTTAAGGTCGCAGCAACAACAAGAAAAGACCTGATCGAGTCCGTCTCCACTGTGGACGTCGAGGTTAAGGTGTGTGATACAGCTAAATAAAGACTGTTGTGATTTCATTATGTGAAAGCGTGACAACATGGACATATCCTATCTTCTCTCCAATGATTCCTCTATTTGAGGGCCTAAAGTTGCTTCATAACATAATTAAACTTTGCACAAAATGAAGACGTGTTGTGGATTATAATTAAAAATGTGGAAATTATACAAAATCAATGCATTAAGGAAATTGAATACCATTCAAATAAGCTTGAATAATTCAGAGAATTAGTGGATTTTAATTCCCTTTTGCAATATTTTTCAGTATAATTGAAACTTTATTTTGAATTTATTTGTATTTGCAGATCCTCGATGTGAATGACAACAAGCCAATGTTTGAGACGAATGCCTATGTTGCCACAGTGATGGAGGGGATGCCAGTAGGGACCAGATTGATACAAGTCCGTGCACTTGATCCAGACTGGGGCTCGAACGGACAGGTCTGTGACAGCCAAGCCAAGTTATCATAAGTTTGCAGTGTTGTAGATGCTTTAGAAGCTTGTTAATACTTGTTTTCTTAATTCCAGGTAACCTACAGCCTTGGACCTCTGATCAACTTCAACTTGGACTTGACAAAGGACGCTCGCACCGTCAGTAGCCCAATCACTATGAGCTCAGTGTTTGCTATTGACAGTAAAACAGGCTGGATCACCACACTGAGTCAGATGGACCACGAGGCCTGCTCCAGCTACAGCTTTGAAGTAGTGGCCTCTGACCTGGGGGAGTCCCAGTCTCTCTCCTCCACCACAGTGGTTACCATCACTGTGTCCGATGTTAACGACAACCCCCCGCAGTTTGAGAGGGAGCTTTACCGGGGGGCAGTAACGGAGAACGACCCCCTCGGTGAGGTAGTAGCTCTTCTAAAAACTAAAGATCAAGACGGCACGGACCAAAACCGCCTCGTCAACTTTTACATAACTGGTGAGGAAATTAAAGAGAATACTAACATAATGGCGGAATAATGTGTTGCAGTAATTGCATTATGTAGTGAGATAAGGTGGTGTTGCATAATAATTAATTTCACTAAGGAGGTTGTTATTATTAAAGGTCACATTTGAATAAATTCCAACTGAAATGTCAAACACGACTGACCTTTTGCTTTTATGAATTTCCTTTTGAGTCTACAATGTACACATTGTACAAAGAAAACCTCTTAATCAAGGCAGAGAGACCCTGTTTTTCCACATTTTCATTTATGAATATATGAAAAGAATGCTTGGTTACATTACATGTCATTTGTTAGACGCTTTTATCCAAAGCGACTTAAATACATTCAGTACTGTGGACAATCCCCACAGGAGCAATTTGGGGTGAAGTGTCTTGCCCAGGGACACAACGACATGCTGACTGCAGTGGGACTCGAACTTGCTACCCCCTGATTCTAAGTCCAGCACTCTACCCACTGAGCCACAGCCGCCCTTATATAATATATAGAGCGCCAACCAGCACAAGGATGGCTCAATGATTCTTTAAAACGACGTGAAGTTGGTATATTGGTTGGGATTCCACACACTCGCACATGACTTTGTGTAGTAACTCTTTTTTATGGGAGTAATAAAAACCCTATACAGACTCGCCGGGAAAACTCTCACCTTGACACTGAGCTTGATAATTTGTATTCACATAAAATTGTCTGATAATATCTAAGGATGATCTATTTTGGCCTTTGTAATGTTATAATAAAAGGTCACGTTTTTTTAACTTTGAAAGGCCATAGCTGTTTCGCCACCACCATGGTTTAGGCCATGATGATAGAGGTTTATTGATTATGCCAAAGGGTACTTGCATCATTTGTGTGGGGGTGTGGATGGGTGGGGAGCTGGTGATTTTTCTTCTTGGGATTGAATGAGACTTCCTGTTTGTTCACAAGTCTGTTACAATGCATCTTTGCCTCTTTCTTTGCTGTGAAGTGACAGCGGTTTAATTCTCATCCGTTTAATCTTCAGGGGGGAACCCGCGGGGCGTGTTTGGCCTGGCTCTCGTTCAGGGAGAGTGGAAGGTTTATGTGAGCGGCCTGCTGGATCGGGAGCAGCAGGACTTGTATCTGCTCAACATCACAGCCAGCGACGGCTTATATGTGGCTCGCACTGCAGTGGAAGTCACCGTCATGGATGCAAATGACAACAGTCCCATCTGCAACCAGGTCAGAATACACACATGTAGATGGGCACAAATTCAAATATGCACAGAAAACAAATAATTCAATGGAATGTAGGACAGTGAAGTATTATTATATAGCTTTTTTTAGAATTCATGGCACTCTAATTGCCTCTGTGCTCTGCTTATGTCCATGCTAACCACATTGCAATTAGTATTGGCTAAAAATAGAAAGAAAACATAAATGTTTCAAAATACTGGCTACAGACAAATTGCTTCGTGCTTAAGGTGAAATTGAACAAATAGTAACAAGTTGAATAACGAATAGTTGATCAATGTCTTATCGTGTCATGCAGAATCTGAGAGCAACAAACATCAACTGCAGCCCCTCTATTTTAAATGCTGTTGAATAATGTTTGCATAATAATATTTATGTATGTGAAAAAGCTACAAGCAGAACAGGATTTGTTAAATATTCTTTGTTTCACCGTCTACTAAAGTACACTCTTAATTTCAATTACTTCAACAGATATATCGATAGTACTCATAATGTACTTCTGGGAATATACTGTAACTTGAGTACTCCACAATTTAATATATTGTAATATTTGAAATGCCCACAGTCAAAAGCTTATGATCTTCCAGTTGCAACAATGACACTAACTTATGATTGACACCAGCAATTCAAAACATTTAACATCAGGTGTTGTGCTAATTTCTGCCACAACTTTAAGATGCAAACTCAAATGAACGTTGTATAAGAGGCCAAAAACTGTGAAAAGGGACAATCGTTGAGCTGTGCAATCTTCTGGAAATACCCTCCTTTAATTTCACATCATTAGTTGAGAAAGTTACATTTTCTCTCCAAACTTACTTATTCTCTTTGAAATCATCCCTCCCTGTGTCCCTCTTCTCCTCTCATATTATTTATGTTCCTTTACAAGTTCGGCCAGGGTAACTACACAGTTTGTTTTATTCTGGCATGATACGGTGACGGCATGACATTTATCAAAATATGTTAAGAGTCACACACTATTCTCTAACTTATCATGGCCTCATGTTTTTTGATTAAAAGTGCCAGTTGTATAATAAGTATTATTGTAGTGCCTGTTGCTCTAATAGTAACAAGAGAAACTAAATCATTTCTACCTCATGTAATGGTAGATGCAGAAGTCAGCCGTAAAAGTAGTAGTAGCAGTAATGCCAATAGAAGTTAATAAACAACCTCCCCTGCTGATATTAGCCATAGTGTTTTGTCATGTTTGATGCAACAAAATAAATAATAGCGATAAGTATAGAGGTAAAAAGAGTAGAAGTAATAGCAGTTGAAAGTGAAGCAGTAGAATTGGCAGTAGATATAGTAGTTTTGCAGTGATACATGTCGATCGACCACACCATCAGGCAATGGACAAATAATTGCATCAAGTGTAAGTTAGAAGTACAGAGAAAAAAAGTATGTAGTTCTTTAAATGTGCTGGTCTGTGTTTGGGGAATTAGTGGGGTCACAAAGTTCATTTCCAGAGGCGACCAAAGTGAATGCAGGGTCAGAAAAGGGCACTTTACTCTGCTGTGCTCGGTTTATCACCAGGGATAATGGAGGCAGTGCTCAATCGTTTTATGTGTTGGACAGATTGTTTTTTTTCAGACACTGTTGTTTCACTTTGTGCTTGTATATCTGTGTGTGTGTTTGTGTTTGTTTTGACAGGCGGTGTACAGTGCCTCTTTCCCTGAGAACATTCCCATTAACAAGGGCATTGTGTCAGTGGGCGCAACAGATGCTGACTCAGGCTCCAGCGCTGAGATCCAATACTCACTGTTTGGCATCGGGGTTGAAGATTTCTACATGGATGCCAACACTGGTACATTCAGTTGCTATATTTTCTAAGCTTTCATAGGAATAACAATATACACAGTATGTCCGAGAATAAGCCTCATTTTTATATCTCTGTTTTTGTGTCCTAAGGTGAGCTGCGCACGGCCACGGTCATGGACAGGGAGATGACGACCACTTATAAACTCATTGCCCAGGCTACTGATGGAGGAGGGCTGTTCTGCCGCTCTGACATTTCTCTCAAAGTGTTGGATGTGAATGACAATGCCCCCTCCTTCTCCTCTCCCCATTACCTGGCTAGCGTTTATGAGAATGCCGCTCCCAAGGCTTTGCTCACCCGGCTGCAAGCCAGCGACCCAGATGAAGGTAAGCTAATAAGATGTTTAATGCTGGACGAGTAAGATGTTAAACAAGGATGATAATGAACAAATAAAGTTACAATTAATGCAGGTTGAAGATACTGTCACTAAGCATTCAAACTGCTGACTCGCACATGAGATTACTTAATTATCTGCAGCTGTTTGATGAAAAGAGACACACACACAATTTGTAAAATAGAAAAGACTACCTTGAACAGGAAGAAAAACATTTTGACATGAATATTAAGTCTTCGCTGTGCATGGATTTATCTCCCATTCTCTCCAGGATTTAACCGTACAGTAGTCTATTCTCTGGTGGATTCAGTCAACGGGTTGTTTTCCATTGAACCCGTATCAGGGATGGTAATTCTGGAGAAGACTCTAGACAGAGAGAGCCAAGACTCCTATCGAGTCCGTGTCCAGGCCACTGATCAAGATGGGCAACAGGGGGCGCTGTCCTCCCAGGTAAGTGATGCCAGTGACACACATTCAATCTCATTGAGTCATTCCCATGCTATGCACGAAGCCTAAGTGCAGGGAAAAACATCTTACAAGCTGTTCAAAATCACAAAATATGACACCTCTGAAACAAGGGCAATAACAGTCCTCACAAAAATTACCAACAAGGTGAAATAAACATGGCAATTAAATGAGATAAAGACTAAATGGAAACTGCTTCTGAGTAATTTACACCAATTATATATATAAAAAAAAAAAGGAATAGATGTGAATATTTATGAAACCATTTTACCATAATTATGCATTTCGATTTTTTACACTAAACATTAAGAGGCACATTAGTAAGTCCACCAGCTGATAATGTGCAATTTGTATTTCTGTCCATACACATGAAAAACAAGAAACCAATGAATAAAAACATGTTGTTTACTGAAGAGATCAGATAAAGAACCTGGTAGATTTAATCAAGATAAATCATCAACTGGTGGAGTGTCTTGGATGGGAAAGTGGGGAAGGTGACAGATACAGACGCAGAGGCAGGCAGAAAATAGGTAAAAAGGGGTTCTTTTAGGACTGCCATAGATGTAACTTTAGATGAACCCCAGACAAAAGTGAGACCAGGTGGGCCTATTTGGACCAACTTTGTAGCAACTGGAATAACAGCTGAGGTAGTAATAGTAGCGAGTAGTAGACGTATTCCCAGGCACTTCTATATAATAGCAGAAAATATAGAAATGCTTAGACATCCCACTTGCAGTGAGTGGAACTGGGATCAAGTGTCTCTCCTCTTTGACTCCATATGTAGCTAACAATATACCGTACCATATGCTGCATGTCAGTGTATGCCAGAATATAGAACAGGGATGAAAATAATGAAGGTCGGATGCAGTTTAGCTTGAAAGCATGTGATTCTGTTATCCATCTTTTTACTTTGACATCTTCCCATTCTTTATACTAGCCACTTCATATTTCTAACACTAAATAGAGTTGACAATCTAAACTAATACCATTATGTAACCAGTTGTAACCTTACACCTTAAAGGACACCTATCATGCTATATTTGAATAATATATTGTGGGGCCATACCTATATATATATATTTTTTTTTTCAAATACCAAACAGATCATGCATTTTAGCCATGCCTCATTTCGCTCTATTTGCTCTCCTCCAGCCCTGTCTTTGCATGAGCTGCAGCTGACCACGCCCCCCTGCAAAGGAGGGGGGCGAGGCACGAGCATCATGTTACCATGCTGTTACCATGCTGTTACCATGCCACGGCAACCGAGAGAGAGTTGGCCATATAGGCGGAGCTCCTTGTTCCTGACGTCAGAGAATTTTCAAATCTGTATCAGTTTTTATCAGATCCGTTGCAGCCCCATTTTTAGAGATTTGGGTATGGAGGAAAAGAGAGAGGGTTGTGTTTTCTGACACTTGGTGAGTTCCCTGACACACCGGGGACACATATTCATGTATAAAAGACGTGCATTTTGCATGATAGGTCCCCTTTAAGGTTATTACTTACATAATGCCTAATGGAGGAAGGTGTGACTGTATGAAATGATGTTCAATTTGATTAAAAGAGGGGTCTGATTTACAACAACCACAACACTTAATGAAACGACATACAAGAAAAACTGAAATAACACAGAAAGGCAAATCAAATCAACAGAAACATTTTCAACGAACCTATCAAACATGTTAGAACAATATTTGTTTTAATAATAAAAAGTAAGAAATAAGAGGGTTATAACATTACATTCTCATATAAAAATAAAGCAATATTTGAAAAGCAGAAACTTTGTTTGCAATATAACCTACCAAAATAAAATAAAATATACATATTATAACAAGGTTTAATGTTTCTGTAACATCACAGCCTTGTTTTAAGTTGTTTTGACCTCCCAGAGAGCAGAAACAAAATGACACATCCAGGGTTACTTTCTATTTAATATTTATCTAGTGACCAAAAAGAAAGTAAGAAAGAATTCAATAGATTCTCTTTGGGGCTTTGGTGGACTAAAACGTCAATGGGTTTCCCCCCCAGTCGCCTCTCTTGTTTGTGGAGCTCTCAGTATCTTTTCTCCCGGTAATATCCTTATCTTGTGCTGAAACTGAACTCTCAGGGCAGTGAAATGAGTTTGTCTCTCCCTCAGGTGGATTTGACCATTTTGGTGCTGGATGTGAATGACAATGCTCCAGTCTTCCAGAGGAGGGACTACGCTGTCACCGTCCCTGAGGATGTTGCCGTGGGAACCGAGGTGCTGAGAGTGATGGCGACGAGTGTGGACATCGGACCGAATGCTGATATCGCCTACACCATCCGGTCAGGCAACGAGCTGAGAAAGTTCAGCATAGACAGAAACCAGGGTGAGCGGAGGTCCTTGTATGTGCTGAATGCAAAACTAAAACTCACTTCAAATAATAATAATGAAGCTTTATTTATATAGCACTTTTCATACAACACATGCAGCTCAAAGTGCTTTACAAAATGACACATCACAAGTTAAAAATGTGTCTAAGTTAATAGACACAAGGCGGTAAAAGGTATAATGATACAAAAAAATTAAATAATGATTTCTCTCCGTGAACATATAGGTACAACAGAAATACAAATAAAAAGATAATAGTAATAAAAATGCCATATTTCTAATAAAGTTTAAACGATTAAAATATTTTAAAAAACTACGTAAAAATAAATATTGCTATTGAAACATGTTAGATTAATAAAATAAGATAAAATCCTTTAGGGCCTATAAAATAAATAAAACAATATAAAGGTAGGTAAATAATAACGACTATTTAAAGTGGGGGGTTGCTAATAAAAAGCTAATCTAAAAAGATGTGTCTTTAGCTGGTCTTAAATTAAATCCTATACATGCCGTACAATGTGTTTATTTTAGGCTCTATTTCTGTGGCTGATGATTTGGACTTTGAGGTGTGTAAGGACTACTACCTCACCGTGGAGGCCTGGGACAGCGGGAACCCTCCTCTCAGCACAGCTACCATGGTAACCATTGAACTGATGGACGTCAACGACAACGTTCCAACCTTCAGTCAGGACATCTACAATGTTCTGGTCAGCGAGGATGCGTCTGTCGGGCAGACAATAACGAGGGTAACATTTGATTTGCTCTCTTATTTTGTACATGTTTTCTATTTATTATCTCGCACCGATGGACTTTGTGTGATATGTGCTGTTTTAAGTAACATAGTTAGTTGTTTTATGGTTGTCTTTGTCTACTTGGCCAGGAACAACAGATGTCAATTAGCAACTAGCTAATTTTGGTGCATTGCTTTTAATTGTGTGACATCTCTGCAAAGAAAGAATGATTACAATAATACACATTGGATCTTAAGTGTTCTGTTTTATCTAGACTCCTGGTACTAGGATGGGTTAAAAGCAGAGAACAAATGTCACTGTGTGTGCTGTGTGCTCTGCATGTGTGACCTTTAAAGAGGGTTTCATCCCTCTGATTCTATTCTATTCTGCTTTATATTGTGTTAACTGAAAATTGGCCCTTCAATAGCGTTTTATTGTTAGAGTTTATAGATTTGTTATCTACTGTATATTTTTCTACATTTAATGCTGTTTTAATTCTATTTTGAGATTTTGAAATTCTAGAATTGTTCATTTCTACTTATGTGCAATGCCTTGTTTTCTTTTTGATGCTGCTGCATTGCAAACAATTCCCAATTTGGTGTCAATAAAGTACATCTTATCTTATCTTATTAACTGCGTTTCACTCCATGTGTGTGTGTTTCTCTAGGTTTCCGCAGAAGATTTGGACAGCCAGGTGAATGGGCGCATCACATACTCCATCCTGAAAGGGGACCGCACTAACCACTTCTGGATTGACCCTGTGACAGGACTGCTCAAAGTCAATAAGCGGCTCGACAGAGAACTAGTAAGGATGCATCTCTAAGTTCAATATATCATTTACAATCAATAGCAATATTATGGTTCGTGAGCACACAAAATACCAAGTCCGCTCAAGGTCAACACCAAATGAAGTTATATATTATATTCCGATTTATTTACGTCATAAAGGCTTAGCTGTACTTCTCATATATCCCGTTACACAAAGAGGACTCTCATCCCCTCCTGCTCCATCTAGGTATCCCAGTACTCTTTGTCAGTGCAGGCGTTCGACAGTGGCTCTCCTGCCATGTCCTCCACCGTCACCCTCAACATCGACATATCTGACGTCAACGACAACCCCCCTGTTTTCACTCCTCCCAACTCCACAGCCGCCATACAGGTACCAGTCTGTGTGTTTTTCTCATATTCATGTTTGTTGGGGAAATCTTTTCCTAGGCCCATAACTTTGACCCAGTTGATCAGTTTGTACTGCCCTCGCTGAGCACAGCTGCCCTCTCAGTGTTTTCTCTTCCTATTCCTGCCTGTTGGCGTCAGCTGATAGAGGTGTTATGGTTTTATCTTGTTATGCACAATGTTGATTATTCTCTCAGAACCAGCTAAATACATGGGTCTGGGGTAGAGATCTTCATAATTGGCCGGGCAACCGCTGTGTCAACTCGTGGCAGAGCACATGTCTTGTGAATTCTCCGGCCGAAGCTCCAAATAAACCATCAGTGTTGGCCATCAAAGTTCGAGCTCTCTCCGTGTCTCTCTGAGTCCTGTCTCCATTGCTTCAGAGGTTTCCATCACAATGTTCATCTGTGCTAGGGTCACATTAACTCTTCTCTCTCTCCAAATGCCTCCAGTTAAACCAAGCTGCCGGCACCACCCTGCTGAAGCTGTCAATGAGCGATAAAGACTCCACTAGAAATGGCCCTCCCTTTGAGTTTCGACTGGTGTCAGGAAATGAGGGAAATTTCTTCTCCTTCGACCAGACTGGAACTCTGAGGGCAAAACGTGTGTTTGGCCCTGAAGCCCCCAGAGAGTTCACTCTTGAAATCCAGGTTAGCAGTAGCTGGTTTTCTGACTACTGACTCATAGTACACTGTGTTAGCATGTTTACACACAGTCAGTATTTCTAAATGTTAAGTGAGGCTATTAGATTATTTGTTTCATCTTGATAACTAGCCTCATATGAACTCATTTCAATTATAGAGAAGCTACTGTATGAACACCATTATTATGATGAGACTGAAGGGGGCTCTGAGCTTTAATATTGATGTGTCTTTCAGTTTAAGCTACAAGGCCACCCTTTGCTTTTACCATCTTTTGAGATCTTCCACAGCGTAAAAAAACATCTGGTTACATCAGATTGATGTAACCAATAGTAGACAGTTTCTTAATACTAGACTAACTTAAGTACTGTACTTAACTATTATTATATCTCTTCCTGTCCTAAATTACAACTACCTGGCAATATATAGAAAAAAACCTTGATAAACAAATTAATGCATTAAAAAGGATGATACAATAAGATAAAGTTACATTTTCTGATATGGGCCGTTGTGTAGAATTAGTACTGTACGTTTACTTCATGATCTTTAGGAACTTTTTGAGCAACATTTGTTTTACTTTTGTTCGGAAAAGTACATTTTGAATGCAGGACTGGCATGTTTACACTGTGCTTTACCACTGATCTGAGCACTTTATCCACCACTGACTGTGACTTTGATTTGGTCTCTTAGGCAACTGACTCTGGTAAACCAAGTCTGACTTCCTCCTCCTGGATATTTATGAGAGTCATCGGGAACAGTCAGTATAAACCCGCTGTCTCCCCCATGGAAATCTTCATCGTCATGGTAACAGACACGTTCCAGGGCGGGCCAATTGGTCAGATCTACGCAACGGACCGCGACCCCAATGACGTGCTGTCATTTACCCAGAAGCTTCAGCCCAAAAGCATGTTTACGATAAACAGACAGGATGGCAGCATTGTGGCTCTGCCGGGCCTGGAACCTGGCAGGTACACACACACACACACACACACACACACACACACACACACACACACACACACACACACACACACACACACACACACACACACACACACACACACACACACACACACACACACACACACACACACACACACACACACACACACACACACACACACACACACACACAGGCTAAAAACTGGCCGATGTATTACTATAATGTTGAAAGCCTGCCCTTATGCAACACCATCAATTAGGAAACTGGTGACACAGCAACTCTCACCTGGGGTACCTTATGGCTGTGTGGTCCTATGCTGCAAAAAACATTTGATACAATTCCAGCTTACACAATATAGAGCCTAAAGGCACGTTTTTAACTTTAAAACTCAGTTAAACAGAACATGGAGTCTCTAGACAGGGGATCTTATTACCTTCACACAATAAATAAATTAAATATCTTTAAAAAAACAAACACTTGAACTAGAATGAATGACAGGGACCAAACAATATTAATTATACATTAGGCCATAAGGTTTTGTTTGGGGTTTTGAATAACTTGTTTGTTTAATAACCTCTGTACTTTTTACATTTGATGAATTGCTGTTTTGATTCCTTAGATTTCAGATGTGTAATTGTATGCAATTTTTCTCTGTTGTTATATTATTATGCTGTCAGTGTTTGTTTGACTTCTTGTGAATCTAAGAAAGAATAGAAACTGCTCTTGTTGAAGCTAATGGTGATCAAAAAAACAATAACGAAAATGGATCAAACTTGAAACACAAACACATTCCCTTGTCCTCTCTCAGATACCAGATGAATGCCACAGTGAGCGATGGACGTTTCGCTGTGATAGCAGACGTGTCGGTGCAGGTGGAACAGGTGACAGATGTGCTGCTGCGTAGCGCCCTGACCTTACGTTTCAGCTCTCTGTCCCCGGAGGACTTGCTTGGCCGCTACTTGAACCAGATCAAACTAACGCTGCGGGGACTAGCCGGTTGGAAATGGTCACCAGGACAACAGGATCCCCTCCACATACTGGGTGTTCAGCCGGTGATGGGGACAACGAAAGTGGATTTACTTCTGGCGGTGGAAATGCCAGAGACATCAGGCGGCGGACGGATGAGTGGGATCTACTCGCAGCAAGAGTTCTCTGCTAAGCTGAAGGAAGCAGCCGTGCGGGGGCAGATTCGGGGCATCCTGTCCGGGGCGGAGGTGCTGAGCTCTGCCTGCTCTGGGGAGCTGGAGTGTGGGGAGAGGGTGTGTGAGCAGACCCTGGTGATGGACGGGGAGTCGACTGTCACCTACAGCACAGAGAGGGTCAGCTTGGTGTCACCCAGGTTCAGCCGCAAAGAGACCTGCACCTGCCCCGGTGAGCACTGCACTCAGACATTGACAGTGTTCTGTATATCTGTCACAGCCGCTTCTGTCAAGTTCAAATGAAAAACACATAACAGAGAGATGGATACATGCAAACAAAGATGTGTACATGCATTAAAGGTCACCTATTATGCAAAATCCACTTTTTCATGTTTTTTCATTTCATGTGATCAGATTTTGCCACTTTATGATGTCATAACGATTTTTTGGCTTGTGTAACCATTAGCCAATAACCAACCAAGGTAACCCCCCCCCCACCTTATCACCTGAATCTCCTCCTAGAGCACCATTGTGTTCTTTGTAACCAAATATCTCTCAGAGGGGCGTGGGGAGTGGCTCCTTATTTTCATCTAAAGTAACAGACAGAGAATCAGCACTTTTGAAACAGGGCTGAAACAGAGGGGATTATGGGATGCTACAATGCATGATCTTTTTGGTATTCCAGCCAAACACTTCAGAGACAGGTTTTGTATATATCTGAGACCTATAATATATTGATGAAAAACAGAATAATAGGGGAGCTTTAAAGCTGTTTTTCTTCCTAGAGTTATTATTTTCTAATGTGGTTTTTGTATCTGGCCCAAACAGGGGGGACTTGCTCCAGTCCTGTGGAACTTTGTGAAGGTCAGTCCTGTCCAGCAGACATGCAGTGTGTCCGCTCTGGTCCTACAGCGCCATCTGTCTGCCAGTGTCAGCCTGAGAGACTAGACGAGTGTGCAGGTATGATTTACTTTGCTGCTTGAATTGTATACCTATGTATCTGATGCATTTGGGGGAAAAAAGTTTATCAGTTTCTCTTTTTTAATTGTGTATATATATGTTTTGTGGACTTGTAGGCCAAACCTCTCTTAGTTTCTCTGGAAACAGCTACATCAAGTACAGAGTGACAGAGAGTGGCCAAAGTGGAGAGATGAGGCTCGGCCTGAGGATCCGAACACTTCAGAGAAGAGGAGTCATCATGTTCACACGTGTTAACCCCTGCACCATGCTCAAGGTAAACACATTATCGTGTCCCAAAGGTTGCGCTGTTTCTCAGGATAATTTTTTTAAAGCGTATGTTCCCTGTCCTTCCACAGATTGAAGAGGGTCGACTCTGGTTCCAGTTGGACTGTGACAACACCCTTGGCATTATGGGTATCTCTGGCAGACCAATAAACGACGGCCTCTGGCATGCTGTTGCCTTGGAGCTGACTAGGAACTATACCCTCCTGTCACTGGATGACAGCTATGTTGAGCGCAGGCGAGCAGCCAGAGCTCCTGTTCGCCTTTGGCCTCTGGCCCCAGATTCATCATTTTTCTTTGGGGCCCAAGTGAGGCCAGTGAGCGGGCCGAGCGAGAGGCCGAGCCCGGGGCCTGGGCTCTGGGACCGGGGGGGCGAAGGCCCAGCCAAGAGCCCAGGACGGATTCCAGGGATGCCTGGGCTCGCTGAGGCTGAACGGTAACGAGCTGCCTCTCCAAAATAAGAGGAGCCGTTATGCCGAGATCGCCGGCCTGAGCGAGGTCAAGTTGGGCTGCGTGCTTTATCCGGATCCATGCGTCAGTCAGCCCTGCCTCAACGGAGCCATGTGCAGCAGCCTGCCCTCTGGAGGTCTGTGTGGATGGATGTGTGTGGGTGTTAGTCATCTTGTTGTATAAATAAATGAGGGTAATAAATGTTGCCATCTGAAACAGATTCACTCAATCTTATAGCTTCTGCCTCAATTTCAGCTTCATTTGAATTTGATGGTTTGTTTGTGCAGTAGTGACCATCAGCTTGTGTCAGCTATTCAAGTTAAATCTACATTTTTATTTGACACATTTTGAATTTCTCTCCAACAGGCGTCGTGTGCACTTGCAGCGGTGGCTTCACTGGGGGGCGCTGTGAAGTTGAATTGACATCCTGCATGCCAAACCCATGCCAGAACGGGGGGGAATGTAAGCCTGTCGGCGGTGCGTTCCTCTGTGGCTGTCCTGCAGGACTCGGGGGAATTATGTAAGAAAAAGCATCCTGCACCCTCACCCTCACACACTTTTAGACCTAAACTATTGATTGTAAAAACAGTGTTGATGAATGTTGATTTCTGTTCACACAGTACGTACTCACTGACGGGAAGTGAGTATTGATTTAGAATGTGACACACTCTCATGCATTCAAACGTGACACACACACACACACACACACACACACACACACACACACACACACACACACACACACACACACACACACACACACACACACACACACACACACACACACACACACACACACACACAATCATCCCTCCGCATTAGTACACTGTGTTGTTTTATTATGTATGTTTACTTATTGAGTGAAATAAATTACTTCTCTTATTTAATTCAGTATAATTTAGTTTGAAAGAACGTAATAACTCTCTAGCTGCGTTCTTAATTACAGCTCATTAATTGCGTCTGAAATGACCTTCCTGCTACTGTGGTTGTTCAATGAAGCCGCCACAAGAGAGCAGTTTTCCCTCAATGGAGTTCATGTTTCTGCTTTTTTATGTACTGACAAAGCTTTTGATGAAGTTGAACTGAATTTAGCTCAATAATAAGAAAGATAAAAATTAAGATGTTCTCTGCTGGCAGCAGATTGTACTTATCATTATCAGTTAATGATAAATGCAAATTGGAACCATTGCTATAGCGAATACTATTCAAGCCAAAGGCAGCTGTTGAGGGTAATTAGCTCTGAAATTGATTTTTGCTGCAGATTGATTAGTAATAATAGCACATTTAAATCTGAGCTTTTTTATAACAATACCATGTAATATGATTAATTGAAACATTCCGTTAAAGGGGGAAACATTTCATTTAAAAGCTGAATCCTAGACTCGCAAATTTAAAAGCTACTCGGTCATGATTTATTGCAAATTAGGCTGTAATGTAGTCATGAGGATAACACTGGACAATATATCCAGGCCTGAGACAGACACTAATGCTTAATGACTCCTTCATTTCATTAACATTTAAAGCAAAACTTGGGTAGTTTCTCAGCAATTGTCTTTTTTTTTTATTACATCGGACCAACTCCTGCAGAGTGTTTTGAAAATGTTGTCAAAAAAAAGTAATTGAAAAGAAAAAAAAATATATTTCTCTCCCTCTGTCACAGCAAGGCACCATGCGCGGAATGACAATGAGAAGCACTTATGAGTGTTGGATGTGGTTTTAATTTAAGTCTTCATCTAAGAATGTGTGTGTGTGTGTGTGTGTGTGTGTGTGTGTGTGTGTGTGTGTGTGTGTGTGTGTGTGTGTGTGTGTGTGTGTGTGTGTGTGTGTGGGTGTGTGTGTGTGTGTGTGTGTGTGTGTGTGTGTGTGTGTGTGTGTGTGTGTGTGTGTGTGTGTGTGTGTGTGTGAAAATATGTATTTGAATAAGAACCATATCAATGACAATAATACATTTTCTTTCTCTCTTTTTCACTCGCTGACACGCTTTTATCATTAATTATTGTCCTTGACTTTGATGCTAATAATCCTCACCACTCCCACTCATAGCAATGCTTTTGTCCATGTGCCTCTGCAGATGTGACCAGGATGTCAAGTAAAACAAACACTGACAGCATAATCATATAACAACAGAGACAAATAGCATACAATTACACATCTGAAATCTAAGGAATCAAAACATCAATTAATCAAATGTAAAAAGTACAGAGGTTATTAAACAAACAAGTTATTCAAAACCTTATGGCCTGATGTATAATTCATATTGGTTGGTCCCTGTCATTCATTCTAGTTTAAGTGTTTGTTTTTTAAATATTTTATTTATTGTGTGAAGGTAATATCATCCCCAGACACTACATGTTCTGTTTAACTGAGTTTTTTACAGTACATTACATTACATTACATTGTATTTAGCTGACGCTTTTATCCAAAGCGACTTACAATAAGTACATTCGACCAGGAAGATACAAACTTGAAGAAAACAGAATCATATAAGTACATCAGGTTTCATAGAGCTAAAACATTTCAAGTGCTACTCAACTGGCTTTAGATAAGCCAGTCCTTTATTAGTATATAAGTGCTCTGTTAGCAGTTCTTTGTTAGTAATTCTATCGCTCGAAGTGGAGTCGAAAGAGATGAGTTTTCAGTCTGCGCCGGAAGATGTGTAAGCTATCTACTGTCCTGATTTCAATGGGGAGCTCATTCCACCATTTTGGAGCCAGGATAGCAAACCGACGTGTTTTTGCTGATGGGAACTTGGGTCCCCCTCGCAGTGCGGGTGCAGCGAGCCGTTTGGCTGATGCAGAGCGAAGTTTAATGTTAAAAACGTGCCTTTAGGCTCTATTTTGTGTAAGCTGGAATTGTATCACATATCTTTTGCAGCATAGGACCACACAGCCATAAGGTACCCTAGGTGAGAGTTGCTGTGACACCAGTTTCCTAATTGATGGTGTTGCATAAGGGCAGGCTTTCAACATTATAGTAATACATCGGCCAGACACACTTTTATCATGAATTCTTGTCCTTCACTTTGATGCTAATAATCCTCACCACTCCCACTCATAGCAATGCTTTTTGTCCATGTGCCTCTGCAGATGTGACCAGGATGTTGATGAGTGTGAGCAGGACGGCTGTGGAGATGAAGCCGACTGTGTGAACACGTTCGGGTCGTTCTACTGTAACTGTTCAGAGGGGTACGAGGGGCAGCTTTGTGATGATCAGTCACCTGACGATGAGGGGGATGACACACAGGTAACGTTTGAGAAACTCTGAATTCACATAGGAGTACATCTTACAGAATATAATTAAAAGTATAATTGAAAAGTACTTGATTTTTTGCGCTTTCATCTTGCTTCTCAATGGACTTTTTCTCAAACTTTGTGAAGCATTCAATAATTATTATTGTGCAGCAGACTCCCAGACGGTTTTTCATTAGCTTTGTATCTTTGTCCCGGCAGTAGATGAATAACAGTGTGGTCATGGAGAAATGTAAGAGTCCTTTTGAAGTCGTCACACTTGACTTTTGTCATGCACTATGTTTCTTAAATAGAGACGGTACAACTATTCATGTTACACATTTTGAGAAGGTGCTTAATTATTCCCTAGAAGACAGTAATTAGCAGAGAAGTAGCCATTTTAAAAATCCTATTAGGCTGCTTTCACAAGCAATTTATACGTTTGCTTTGTTTGTTGTTTTTAAGGACATTTAAAGGTCTTCTGCTGGGAATAAAGCCTTTTTACTGGAGCCTACTTATCATGTATCTTATTAAGAAACAATGATGCTAAATGAATTAATGTCCTGTTTACTCCAATACCAAAGATGTGATGCTTGCAATCCTGAGCAGTAGGAATATACACAATAAGTGTTATCTAACATCACATGATATAGAATCTTAATTTTACACCAACACTATTTTTGGTTCTAACATTTGTGTAATGCTGGTGGTCTTTCTAGATTGACATCAACCTCCACAAGAATAATTGGGTTTGGAAGGTCAACTGTACTGTCTGTGCCCTCTGAATAGTTACTACAGTTGTATGGTTGCTTGGATACTTTCTAATAATTGGCACTACTGTAACTATCGGAGTAAGGGAAAAAAGCTGGATTCCTACCATGGCAACATTTCTTATTAGCGATAATGTGTATTTTTAAGGACAGGTTTTATCATAACACCGTGTTTTCTCAGCAAATCGGAAATATGTGATTATTATTTATCTAAATGGAGGTGAATTCAACCAGTACGGTTATTTGGATGTTTTTAAATATGATATTTATCTTTGTGTTACCCAGGCGGAGCCCCTATCTTATGTCGGACCAGGAGAGATTGTGGGCATCGGGGTCCTTATCTTTGTCATCATCTTCCTCCTCATACTCTTCATCGCCTTCAGGAAGAAAATTAAATTCAGGAAAGAGTCAGACCCAGGCCCGGGGACTCAGGCTGTCATGGGGGTTTCAGCTATCTCCACGGAGACCAGATACATGCTGCACAAGACTGGCATGGGCGCAGAAGGGATTGAGTTTAAAGCCGTGCGTGTGTCGGGGTCTCCAGCCACCACGAGCACCTATGGTGAGGTGGGGGGCGGCACTGGGGGCCCCCCCCAGGTCATGGTGCGCCCCACTAACCATTCCCCCTTACCAGGAGCATTCAGCAGCCAGGGCATGAGGGGGGGAGATGGGGAAAGGACCACATCCAGTGAGGGCAGTCAGGTATTAGTATACAGAATCATGCATGACTGTATTTGTCACCTTAACAGACCTTTTTAACTCGTTTTCTTCCTTTATATTAATTACAGTTGAAGAGTTGCTTGGCCTCCGATGGTTTAGATTAGATGATGTTATGCGATGTGTTTGCTCCAAATAAAATAACAAACTTTTGCACATGCAACAAAGAAAAGAGGCCTTTACAATATTCAAAACAAATAGGCAAAACTCAAATAAAGTAACAAACAACTTAGGTATTCTTTCTTTCTTGATAAGGCTTATATAACTTAATAACTTAAAGGGTAATTGGATGGTTAAAAACTGTTCCTCGATGGCGTCTTTCTAGCAGGTTGCCCATCACTGTCACTTTAGAGGAGGTGCCGTGGGAATTGTAGTATAGTAGTAGAATAGTGTGTTGACTACAGACGTTCCAATTAGGTGGCCTTTCTTATAAAAACAAAATACTGGCTCTAACAGTATTAATGATGGGATTTTTGGGCCTCTCCTATATCTTAACAGGACTGAGAGACTTTGTCATTGCAGTTATGGTTTTTGATAGTGAGTCAGAAATGATATACATAATGTCACACTATACACTAATTATAAAATGAAATGAAATGTAAACACCTATCAATATTTACATCAGAATATCTTCCAGCTCCCCCTTTAATTATGTTCAGTCAGACAACTCACGTGTTTCTTAATATGTTTATTAGAAGCAGCATATAGTTTGAGTTTGGCGTCTAGGCTCGGGCCTCATCACTCCACAGATTTACAAAGAACATTGAGTGATGATTAGATAACTATCCCCCGAGCCTACAGGTGGAAGCTGGGATGGAAGCTGGGGTGGAAGCTGGGTGGAAGCTGGGGTGGAAGCTGGGGTGGAAGCTGGGGTGGAAGCTGGGGTGGAAGCTGGGGTGGAAGCTGGGGTGGTGGTGGGGCAGGCGAGCAGCAGCAACATGAAACACAGCAGCAGGAACATGAACGTAGCAATAGCAAGTGAACACAGCAGTGGCAGCAGCAGCATAGCGAGGCAGAGGCAGGAAGACCTGGCAGCTTAAATAGAGCGGCATGTTTAGGAGAATGGGTTTGGTTGGTTGTAAGAGGGACTAGGTGCGTCACGTGTTAATGTATCATTGGTGCTCGAGTTGACTGCCTGAACTAGCTCGCAGGCTTCGCCCCATTTGTGCTTTTGTTATTCAGTTTTAGTCTTTTATTGTTTGACAATGACTCAAAAATGATAGTACCTCTTTTAATCATATTTAGCCAAATATTAAAACATGTTTTTCTGTCCTCGCAGTTGAATTGCGAAAAAGAAAAAAGGGCTTTTGTGGTAGGAAGTAGAGTGATGAAAGAGTTCTGATTTCAAAGAAAATATGGCACAATGAAATTGCAGTTATAATGGAAAATGTTATGAAAAACAAAACCAAAAACCTTTGCTCTCAAATGTGTGCAAACATCTTTTTAATAAGCAAGCTTTCAGTTAGAGACCTGCTTCAAGGCAACAACAGAAAGCAGGTGAATGCCGCAGTACACTTGATTAGCCTTAAAGACTCTGGTTGCAATTTCCAAAACAGCTCTCTGGTGCATAATCTCCTGTCTCGATTAGTGATAATGTGGTCAAATAACAGAATGTATGGTGCTGTGATGCGAATATTAATATTACAGCATTAGGGGAAAAAATCATTTGGATTCAGAGCCACCATGAGAATAATTTGAAAATTCATAACGCAGGTGCCATTGAGGGAAAAAAAAAGTGGAATAAAAGGGTTATAAAAAGACGAAAGCTGGGGATAGTCTATAAGTGTTATAAAAAGAACAAAGTCAACACACATTAGTCTCTCACTTCCTGGCCCTGTCTGTGGTTCTTAGGCTTAAATAGCTCCTAAATATCTACTTTTATATTTTATCATCTTATAAAAGGCTGAATGATTTCCTCACGGAACTCGGCACTGTAAGTGTTGGCAAAGATTACTTGAAAAGTAACTGAGCATTTGTTAGGGACTATTTTGAGCCATGTCCTAGCGAAGCAGTAGGATGTATGTATGACTGACTTTTCATTGCATTTGTTGACAGTACAATAATCTTACTAGTCTTTTTTTGCATTGTTGTTTTTCTCTCCTTCTACAGTTGAGCAGCTTCCTCTCAGACATGTCTAATGTCCGAGGTTTGGCCAATCGGAGGGGTATCGCAGTGTGCAGCGTGGCACCCAACCTCCCCTCTGCATCGGCCTGCTGCTCAGACCACAGTCCAGCTCACAAAGTGTCCTGGGAGGGAGAGGAGATGAGGGGTGAGGGGATGGAGAGAGTGAGAGTGGAGAGAGAGGAGGAATGGGGGCAGAGAGCTTTTGAGCTGGAGAGAACACAGAGAGATAACAGTCCACAGGGTAAGACTGCCATCACGTGCACACACACACACACACACACACAGACACACACACACACACACACACACACACACACACACACACACACACACACACACACACACACACACACACACAGTTTCTGACCTGTGAAAAAGCGCAGTGTAACGGTACTTATTGTGTTACACCCGTACCGTCATCTCCTCTGAGAGAGCTCATTTCGCAGCGATCCATGCCTTTGATCCCACACATCAAAGAAAATAGCCCAGAGTAAGAAGGAGTGGTTATGAGCTATATTTTTATTTTGCTCTCACATCATTCTAGTTTCACTATTAACTGCCTGGGAGCTTTACATGATAATACTTCTCTATTACACCGCTGAATTTGGTTGTTGTGTCCCCTTCTATTGAAATGACTGTCTTACATCCCCTGTGCACTTCTGTTTAAAAAGTCAGACAGAAGTCTTCTTACACTTTTATTTGTTCATCCAAGTTTTATTCAAGCATACCTTTGTCTACGGAGAGGACATGAGAAGTAGTTGTCAGATATATCTAGTCTGATGTTCAGCTGCCAACACAGTTTGTTCTCTGTCAGTGAAATAATCACGCTGCATCTCTGTGTTGAGGTGGACTTCACACACTTTTGGTTCTCTGTTAAACCTGTTGTTTTGAATAATACAGCCCGCGGTGGGAACTTCCTGTTGTGATATTTTAATGTATCTGCTTCCCTGTTGAGTGCATCCACATAAAAGGAAAACAATTTGCCCTATGGGGGTCACAGTAACAGCTGAATATGTTAATTAAAATGTAGTCATTATGAGGGTTACAGTTTAATTAAACATTTTACACCACAGCAATACAAACAAGAACATATTTTTATATTTCCATAGATGCGCACAAGTTGATGAGGAATTTTAGTTGTTTTTCTGTCACTACCCACTGCTCATGAATATATTACATTTAATAAACTGTGAAATAACTGTAAATAACTTTAAAAATCACGTCTTATAATGTGCAATTACTGCTTACTGTTCTTTCATATATTGGATGTCACAGAATACATTTGACTGATGACTTCACCTCACAAAAAACATTATAACCTGAGCTGCTCCTTAAAATGCAGAACGCTCTTAGTGAAGATTTTCCAGTCCGAAAGCCACAGCTATTACTCTTCCAATTACAGGATGCATTACAGAAAGCAATTTGGGTACCTGTTGTGGCTGCTGAGAAAAAGTGTTAACATTTGTTGGAGGTGTGTGAGAAGTATTTCCAATTAAAAAGACAATGTTAACTTGCCTGAATGGAGAAAAATAATGGAAAAACTGAGCCTGATGGCTGTAAAACGTTTAGGTGCCAGGATGAGAATATGGTTTAGCTTGGTGTCATTGGTAGGATTAAAGCAGTCAACTTTAATGTCAATCTTTCAGTTTGTGAGAACAGACAGAGAGATCAAAATAACGTTTCCAACAACCCTGAATACAAAAATACAAATATACAAATATGTATAAAATATGTATATCCTATATATATACAATCAACAGACACATTTACACATACAGTATGCACACATTATTTAAGCAGGGGTCAATGTCTTAACCTCAATCATGGCAGGATGGTCACTGGCTCAATAAGTGTGTGAGAAAGATAGAAAAATACAAAGTTTTCTTCAAAAACAAAGAAACATCTTTATTGTGTTGGAAATGTGTTCCATCACCTGCATGCTGAATCAGACCGGTGGTTCTGCCGCTGCTCTCCTCACTAAGTTTGATTGATGGTATCGCTCTGCCGCTCACATTCCCACAGGAGCATTTGACTCGTTCCACACGCATCGGACCGTGAACACCTATCTTGGGCTCAGAAAGCTGAAGTGGATTTTCAGACAACCTGGCCTTCATGGACCAAACCCTGACTGCTCAGAGACTGTTGTGGGGGAAATGCACAATTTTGAATAAAACAAGGACATTATAGAGGAAGTGACAGTAGACAAGGGTAACAAAGATAGGTTGGGTTTTGAGAAGCATGCAACCTTTTTAAACAACCCATACAAACCGACGGTAAATTGCTTAGTCCAAATAAAAGCCAAGCTAATTACTAATGTATATTATATATGATGTTCATGATATACTGTATGAATTCTATATTATATGTGATACTGTTCCTGAGTTTCTGTACTGATAATTCAAACATTTGTTTATTACCTCAGTTTTAGAAACAAACCTTTCTTCATTCGGCAAAATATGCAAAATGCATAATTTTTACTGATACCTTAATACAAGCAGTTTTACAATACAAGAATGTACTTAAAGTCATACAAATCAAAGTTGTGAGTTTGGGAAATATTTGATTAAGACTACAAATCCTGAGCATTCAATGACAATCAAGGTTGATACTCTAATGGCACAGAGAGTCTGCAGAGGCGGCAGTGAAAGTCCTAAAACGTCCATCTTTCTGCTATTCTCCATTTGTTCCAGTACCCTCCATGGAGTATTTACATTTTAGTAACATTTAATCACGTCAGCAAAGCTGTCAGTTCTGATTTTCAAGCAGTTTTATATTACAAATAGATATTTCTTTTTAAACCCATACCAAGGATTTCTGCTCCGTTGCTCCTGAATCACTTTTCCAATTTAAATTAATTCAGTGCTGCTGGATGAGAATACCTGGTAGATCTGAGTACCTAACACACAGTCTTCACAGCCAGTAAGTACCAGCTCTGACCCTGTGGCAGTCGTTTGAAAACAATCACTCAGTCGCAATTCTGCCAATGCCGACTTGTGAGCCTATTCATTTTAAATGTTGCTTCTAAAGATAAGCAGGTTGGGGCTAACTGGAGACCCTTAGGCTAGCAGCTTCCTCCAAATGAAATGTAATCTGAGTTGTTTATGTTTGTGACTGTGGCTTTGATAACAGAGGAGAGAGCAGGCTGCTCTGAGTAACTTTTTTAAATGTTTCAAAGTGTTTGTTTGCATTGCTGTTTAGAGAAGTTCCATTTTACATCTTGCTGCACAAACACCAGAATACCTCTGTGGTCCTTACCCTCAATGACTTCCCCACCAGCTGCTGCAGATGGTATTACATGCCTGGAGTGGGTGGGATGACACACTCCACAGCAGTAAGGATGCTTTGATTGATGCACATATGTTAATTGAAAGGAGTGTTGGATGCTGTTATAATTTCTCGAGAGACGGGAGAGGACGGAGGGACGTGTTAATACTATATTGCCAATTTGTCAATAAGTACATTCATTGGGGGGTTTTGAAATAAATTAATACGTGTGTGTGTGTGTGTGTGTGTGTGTGTGTGTGTGTGTGTGTGTGTGTGTGTGTGTGTGTGTGTGTGTGTGTGTGTGTGTGTGTGTGTGTGTGTGTGTGTGTGTGTGTGTGTGTGTGTGTGTGTGTGTGTGTGTGTGTGTGTGTGTGTGTGTGTGTGTGTGTGTGTGTGTGTGTGTGTGTGTGTGTGTGTGTGTGTGTGTGTGTGTCAGAAGTATCAGGGCTGGTGGAGGAAGTGGCACGTCTATCAGATTCCACCTCTGAGGAACACTCTTCCTACACTTCAGAATCCTTCGATGACAATGGTAAGACTGAACCAAGACACTTGTTTACTAGTTTACCACATACTGTATGGCTTTGAAACATTATTTAAAAAAGGGGAAACCAGTCATCAAGAAGACATTGCTCAAATGTAAAAGTTACATTCAGAAAAAGTCTGTGAAGCACTGTGATAAAATTAGCTGAGTGTAAAGACAGTGTACCTTTGCATTTTAAGTGCATGTTCAAAAAAGCAAGCTAAAAGAAGACATGTGGGGGCAACTCAATGCAACCAAATTCATACATAACATGCATCAAAAGGTCATGTATAAGTGTTCATGAAAGAACATCTATTTTAACGCTTTTCTTCAGTCTTATTGTGTGTATTTTCCCCAGATAAATCAATATTGTGATCTTTACTTGGTTTGATGTTAGGGAGTGGAACGTGTGGGTGTGTGTTTTCCCTGTCTAATTAGTGTCGCTGCAGAGACCTCATTTATCCCCTACTGTCTTATAGAACACACACCAAATAACACATGCATACAAATGTGTTTGGAGGACAAATATCTGTTCTTAACACCTGTGCACACACACGCTTACACACACTCGCACACCCAGCACACAAAGCCTTACCCTATTCACAAGTGCACTGACATTGTTTCTGTTGTTGTTCTTCTCTCTTTCTGTACTCTGCCTAGCCTCCATAGTGACAGTCATACGTCTAGTCAATGACGCTGTTGATAATATTGAAAGTGAAGGTATGAAAGAATATCTCCTGTTAAATACTGTTTCTCATTTGTGTCTGTCGTCTGATACCAACGTGTTTGTTTACTGGTGTAGCTCTCAGATATTCTGTAGTGAATGAAGCCATGCTTTGACTGTCCATCATTTATATTCAGACGAAAAAACACCCATTTTAAGTATTTCTGACAGTGTCTAACACTGGATCTCTCTGTGCTTCAATGTTCTCCCTTTGGTTTCTGAGATGTTTGTGCCAGTCTTTCTCTCTGACTTTGGCTTTCTCTCTCCCTTTGTAGTTTCAAGCATGGAAAAAGAACTGCAGCGGAACAGCCCTGGTGAGCGAAACACAAAGCAACTACATCCCATTAGCTTTCCATCCCTCAGGCTTCAGCTTTCAAGCTAAGATCCCAAAACTAACCTGTTCTGTTTTCAAAATGTTTCGCTCTCAATACTTATATCATGCCCAATAGAACACATTTTACTATTTCTGTTCATCCACATGTATTTAACTACCCAGACTTTGAATGGAAATGCGGGTTACTCGTTTCTTGCAACAAAAAAATTGTACTTATACATGTTTAGGTTAGAAATATAATTTGGGTAGATTTCAAATATCAATACCAGCTTCGAGTTCAAAAATGAGAATCAGAAAGACTCTGTACACTTTCAAACACTTTTCTACCATCGTGAGTTGTTTTACAAGTAGCAGAAACATCTTGATCTCCCATCTGTCATATAAACATTTTAATATCTCTCATAGATTTAATAATACAATATTAATAGTGTGACCTTGCTAGTTCATTAGTTCAAGGGACCTATATTAATAGTATTCTAGCTCATTGTAATTACAGGTAAGGATTTAATTTCGAAATTGTTAATAACTACTTAGTCTCCCACTCAAATCTTTGGTGGGTCTGCTTTAAAGCTCACATCTTAATTTCATCCAAGAGTTATTAATGTCCTGTGGGTTTGACAAAGGATTTATATTTGACACAGATTCTGCAACACATTTTTAATATAACATACAGCGTTATATAAAGATTAGGAATGATCCAGTTGCACTTCCTCTAATGTTTTGGCAGTGGCTTATGCTACAGTCTCAAAAACAACATAATTGGCTTCTTGTTACCAAGTCTGTTTGTTCTCAGTTGAATGTAATTTACTGGGTCAACAAAGCACCTCACAACTAACCCAAAACAAGACTGTGTTTATGCCGACTGGAGCACAACAACCCTAATTTCAGACAGCTAGCATTAAAAGATGAATGGAAGTATTCTCCAGAAGGTCGTTTCTAAATTACCCATTTTATTCAGTGTGTTTAACACTTGTGCAAAAGCATATTTTCTCCTATTATTTCATGTCCTGAAAAGTGACGAAAACATACATTTCTGAAAAAGAAACTGCATTAAAAAGACAAAAATACGAATATAATCAGAAGAAAATATGAATTAAGAATAGGTGAACAGGATTCATGTAATAATCCCTTACAAATATCATAATTCCTGTTTGCATGGGTTAACATGTGTCTGTTTAATGGAGTGCATAATACTTAACGGCCTGTTGGCATGTGTACCCCGAATCAGTGATGTGCTCAATAGCTCTCTTGCAGCCTCCCTCCCATTATCCAGTTGGGTTGGTCTATTCACTCGGTGTTTCTGCATTCAGTCCTCTCAATGAAAAGAGCATTTCAACATCAAAGGCTTCCTGTCCCATGATATATTATTTAAGTTTCTAATATCGGACAACAAGTCCACACCTGCATAGCAAATAAGACATTTGTGCATCAAAGAGTCCATTGTGGATTGTAAGAACATAATATTATATATTTGTTTAATCTTTTAAGCTTTCATCCAAACATATTTCAGCTCCTTGGCGTAAAGTGAGAACTCCCACATGTTTTGTGGAGTGTTGGCACAGCAGTCTGTCAGATTTCTCTTTCTACACGTGTCATGAATTATATACAATAATCTGGCACTGCTTGTGAAGAGCACTCTCCATTCCACACAGGGGATGACTCCCCATGTCTTCTCTCTCTCCATTAATATAATATTAATTCGCTCTCAGCTCATCACCCCGACCATGAATTATGCAACCTGCACGCTGTAACTTGAATGAAAAGTGGATTAGTGGGGAGTTATGTGTCAGTCCGTTTAACAGCATGAAGAAATGTTTGTTGACTGGTTTTATTTGCACAGAGATACACATTTTAATGAGAAGTGGAGCAATTACAGAATGTAAACACGCAGTGCCAGTGAACACAGTGAACTTCACTGCAACTCAGTAAGAAACAGAGCCAGACACAGGCCTCCCTCTGCATCACACAACTAAAACCTTACATACTCCTAAACAGACAGCACACATTTACACAGGCAAACTCACAGGCGCATCAAACAAGCACCACATTTAATGAAAATGAGGGAGTAGATAATAAGCAGAGAAAAATCCAAAGTGTAGAAACACAACAAGTCACGATGTTATGAACATTTATTTTCCTTTTAAGTAAAGGTTTTTTTTTCACATCTAAAGTTAGCTGTTGTTGCTTTAGGAGGGCAGCGATGGGATCTGCAGTGAATAGTGAACATCTCTTGTAGATCAGTCCCTTCAGCAGCTGAGAGCATATTCCCCGTGTCACCTCGCTTTCCCTCCTGGAGATAAGATCATGATGATACTGTGTTTTCAGAAGTGATGTGATTTATTGATGTGGCACCTTTCGCCGGCTGATCCTACTTGATACATAATCTAATTCTTTGCTCACACTGTGCATTGCACAAAGGCTGATCGTATGGTACATTCAAGAGAGAACTACATACTTCAAGTGATTTGGCAGCACTAATTTGTCCAGGGAATGAAGCCTCAGGCTGCCAACAGAGTATGTTAACTAAAAAATCATTCTCTTTTAAAACAGGTCGTCTCTTTGTTCTATAAAAAAACTATGTCTCACTGAAACTATTCTCAACTATTTAAAAAAAGGCTTATTCTTCCTGCGTTTGTTCTTCTCTTCTCAGCATACCGCTGGGAGCCTTGCAGTCAGACGACGACCTGGTTGTCACCTTCACGTCTGCGTCTACCGGAGCTGGGATCTAATCTGAACCTCAGTGACAGCGAGCAGAACATCAGACGGGGGGGCAGCATGCGGTCTCTCCAGCTGGACTACAAAGTGATAAGCTGCAGCGAGGACAGAGGCGGAGAGCAGGAGGCGGAGAGCGAGAGGAGGGCCTTCCACTGGGAGAGGAATCAGACGGGGGAGTGGGTGAGGAAACGCCTCCTGGAGAAAGAAGAAAAGAGGGGACACGACGGGGAAGGAAAGGAGAAGGGAGAAGGGAGCAGAGACAGGGGGGCGAGCGAGGACCAGCAGCATGACAGCGGGGAAGAAAACTCCTCGCCTGTTTACGAGGAATACCGAGAGCGTGACCCAGAGCACGGTGAAGACGGCCTCTATGACACTCTCCCCCCGACGCGACGAGCCTACGAAGGGTACCCGTCGAGCCCCTCAGCCGTCAACCTGCACCCGGCTCAGCTGCTGCCCCCCCTCAGGGCCTGGGACCTACAGACGGGGGAGTGGCGGGGGTCCCAGGAGGGCCGCAGGGGGCTCGGCTCCGGCAGCCTGTCGGGGTCCGGGGACGAGCTGGAGAGACTCCTGAACCTCGTGTCCCTCAGAGCCAGGAGGGCCACGCGGACAAACAGAGCCTCCACCCAATCGGACCCCTCCACAGACTGGGACGAGTTGAAATGAGCACTCAAGACTCTTTCAAACAAGGCACTGACCCTCTCTGATTGTACTTGACATTTATATTGTGGTCCACCAAATAGAAATATTGAAAGGGGTATACAGTATTACCATATATACTTTTATTATCCCGCATTATCCTCCTGCTGTAAGCAAACACTAATCCCTCAACAATACCCTGGGTAATTTATAAACTGGAGGAATAAGAGGAAATATACGAGTTCTCTAGTCCTGTGCTGCGGGACATGTAGCTGAGATTGGCTGTGCATCAATGCTATTACATTTAATACTTATAGAACCACTGGAGCTTAGCATTTATCAACATGCAAATATGAAAGGAACCAGTCTGTGTGTGTGTTTTTAGATGATACTAACTTGTGTGTTCTGGTGTATTTCATACTTCGTTCTGTTGACATCACACACAATCCAGTTGTAGGCTCAACCATGCAATGCTTTACGTGTTTTTGATATGAATTGGCACATATTGTCAGTGTTGAAGAGAACTAGCCACCCGAATCACCACACACAGCCCCAGAGAGCTATTGTAATACAGCTATTAAGATTACCAGACATTAATATGTGTTTTTCTTTGTTTGGTTGCTTAGAAGCATCTAAATGAAAAAGAATCATTGAGTATATGGCTAATATAAGATATGATTACATACAGTTTTTCTCATGCAAATCGTGTTTACCTTTCATTTGAACTCACAGTGCCCTCTTTAGAGTTATGAAAGACAATGTGTTGACATAAACAGATTCACTTACTGTATGCAAACAGATTCTATACATTATGTACCTTGTGTATTTTACCAAAGCTTATCTTTTAGCAGCAGACAGAGTTAATCCCACTTATGGGAATTTGCAGAGTTTATGTGCTGAAAGAGAATGAGGCGAATATGCATCTGTAAATTGCTCACCTTAAACGTTTACACAAGGTTGCCTCACTCATAATGCTCCCACTCTGAACACAACAAAATGGAATGTATATGGAATTAGACTAAACCACTCTTAAAAGGCAGGCAGAATAAACAGGCGGTACGTAAAAAAAGGAATAATTTGGGATTTACATAATTCATAACGGCAGTTCAGGACAATTGTGGATTGTGAAGGTGCAAGACAAAAGTCTGCTGTCTGACACAACTGCAATACACTGCCTTCATCTTTAAGCACTGTATCTCCTGGTAAATATGTGTTTTGAATTGAAATAGATTTTTTCTTTTCGTTGTGATGAGAAAAATATCAAACAGTATGTCGGTACATGTATCTTAAATAAGATGTAACACTGTAAAGAAAGATAGCCTTTAAAGATTCAAGGAGCACATTGTTAGAGGTTTCAAATGGAGTACTAAGAAATCTAGTTGAAAATGCCATTAAAAGTTTTATGTTTTAAATTACTTTTGTTGATATTGAAAAATCTGTTTGCCGGTGGGTTGATCTTTTATGTGTTTTTCCATAATAACTGTGAAGAATGGTAAACTGACTATGGCACCATAGGGATTAACTCTTTAAAATAGCTGTACATACAGTACTGTCAGGTCTTAAAGTTTTCATGGGCTTAGTGTCACTTTTTCATGTATTCATGTCGCACAGTATTGTGTCCCTCTATCCATCCATTCATCCTCTTTACTCATTCCTATCCAGGTCTAGTGTTAGTGTGTAGCCGAAGCGTGTCCAAGTCTGCATCGGTCAACGTCCCTGGGCGGGTCAGACTGACGGAAAGTAAAGAAAACTTTCACACCTGTGGTCACTTGACAGTCTTCAGTTCACATGGCATCAGGACTGAAGAAGGAACATGGAGCCACTGAAGGAAACCCAGATGAATACTCTGAGACTGTGAGAAGGCGCAAACTCGACACAGACCAAGCAGCTTCCAAAGGCTCACATTTTAACCTCGAGCTTCAATGGAGCGATCAACAAGACTGCTACCAAGTAAGCCAGCTTTACTGTCATGTTTTACTGCTTCATTGCCATCAATCATCCGCATAGTACCTTCCCAGTCTGACATGGCTGACATGCGGAAGCACAATATTTATCTTCTACTGTGGGTGTTCAGGACTTTACAAAAGTATGCTCCTATCATACACATTTCAACTTATTTGGAAAGGAAATGGCTCCTATCCTAAGGGTGAACATGTACGGTGTGGTGTAGCAGCTGAGCTCCATCTCCACGCAGACTAGAAGAGATAAATAATCCCCATAACATATTTAATCCTATCAAATCATTCCTTTCACGCCTCCTATATGATGTTTTAAATTTCTTTCCTGACTGGAATCTGGCAGATTCATTTAGCAGAGCTTAAAGTCACTGATGTCCTCACATGAAGGGTTAGAGATGAGCCGATTGGCATAATCTTCTCCCTATCAGCTTTTGTTTACCTCGGGAATTGATTACTCTGCTGACTTGAATAGCTCATTGTGTGGCACTTTCTGTTCCTCTTGAGTTTATTTACAAACTGACCCAGTGCAGTGATCCAATGATGCTGACTGTGCAGCTCTCAAAAAAGCACCTGCTGTCAGTGATTAGACAACACTCTGCAGTCGGTGCAGAAATGTGTATGTGTCATGTACACCAGCTAAGCATGAAACATAGAAATTCCAGAGTAAATATGCATTTCACTAATAACACATACACCTCGTAACAACATCTACATAAAAAAGCAATTCTAATCACTGCATGTTAAAAGGTGTAAATCGAAAATCACTTTATCTACATCCTCATATGATGACCGGTCAAAATACTTTTATTTTGTTGACCAAAGGTAGAAAAGAGAGTGATGCCTACACCGCTATGTGTAACCAACAAGGAAACTATTTTATTTTATTTTTTTATTATTTCCTTTCACGACACACAATCTTTGAAGTTTTTATCATCCAACTCCCCTAACCAACAGTACAGTAGGCACACTGTGCAAAAAAAACATTCCCATGGCAACTAGAAATTCCCCATATGTTCATTTTCACTGTCACATAGAACACATTGTGGCCAATTAAAGGGGAAGTGTGTGTGTGTGTGTGTGTGTGTGTGTGTGTGTGTGTGTGTGTGTGTGTGTGTGTGTGTGTGTGTGTGTGTGTGTGTACAGTAGAGTACAGTACAGTACATGTGTTTATGTGTGTTTTAGTACAGATGCATGATGTCCAACATGCCTGCTCCTGTGTGTCCTTTGATACAGTCGGGGAGGAGAGTTGTAAGTTTAAATATTGCTTGGGGACTATTGGACTATTACCAATAATCTATCATTACATCCTTTATAATTATTTAAAAAAAAGAGTACATTTAAAGAAGGTCAGCAGCTGCAGCCATAGCTGTATTTCCATGGCAGCAATCATTTTGTCAGAACAAGTGTTACAGCGGTGAATATCACTTTGAGTGAAACACCTCATATATCTTTTAGTGTATGCCAGTATGTGTCAGTGCAATAGATGGAAATAGCTCCAGTTCTATTCTGTCTCCCTGACGGATGCCTGAACCACAGAAGACTCAAAAAAGTCAGGTACAAGGCAGAACCCGAGGGAGATGGATCCTCAGCCCAGCGAGAAATCATGCATTTCTGTGTCAAACGCACCAAAGCTTGTCAACGTGGGAGACGTACCACCACTCATATTACCAACTTCACAGCCCAAAAATAATCATCTTGTGATGTTTCGGAAAATTTGATTTGATCAATTCGTCTAATATGCTTAAGATGTCTTGAGTGATAACAGCAACACAAAATGCTTCGGGCGGCGTGTCAGCTTTCTCTGAATCCAATCAAATTCATTGATATTTTTTGTTTTGTTTTGTGATATTGACTTCAGTTTGAGAGAGAAAAGGAGAGTCATTACCTACAGGACAGCATCCATTGAGGCGAAACCTGACCTACTTCCCGCTGTATTGTCTGAATAAACAACCAGACTGTAAACACACCGCAGGTAGAAAAGTCTAGCTCTGTGGTCTGAGGGATAGGAAATATTTATTCATCAACTTTCACAGTTTACTTCATTATTATGTCTAGGAATATGCAACATTTCCCAAATAATTGACAACCATAAGACTTTTTATTCCACACATGTTGGCTGTCCTAATGAAAGGAATAGGTCAAACCAAAGGCAAATAGGAGGGCTTATGAGGGAAAACAGAGAGGGAGAGCAATAAACAGAGTGGCTGGTGTGTTTGTTTATCATGCATCAGAGGAAACTGATGAGGACCAGCCATTCACTTTAACTCCGCTGTCTCTCATCGGACCATCTGGTCAACAACATACAACATGAAGTCAGCTAAGCCACTAATAACCTCTTTTTACCCTGAACACCCCCCATGTTTGTGTTTTTTCCTTTTTCTTTTCAATGCTTTTTGGACATTGCTCCAGGTCTTGTTGGACACAGCAGGGATGGACAGAAGCATGGATAAGGATTAGGGGTGAGAATGAGATCATGTCAGAGAGGTAGCGGATGAGAGGAGAAGGGATACAAGTATAAGAGATTCCCTGCTTTCTGCTTATTGAGGAGTAGCTGTGTGGGCGATTAGAAATCCACACTTTTCTCAGTAACACCAGGATTACACCCCCGGCTAGACCTAATCTACAGTATGTGCTGACATCTGCTTCTGGTGACACATGCGCAGGCACACACAGACAGTCATACATTTACACATAACATCATCATGAGCAGAATGGCTACCAGTTGCTGTGTGTGAGGCAATTCCATCACGTTATATTCACACATTGTTTAAAGTGACGATTAATCAGACACAACACGCATACACTGAGAAAAACACGGGAACAGGGGGCATGGGGGGAATTTATGGGATGGGGTCAGGGATCGACCCCCTCCCTTGCTTTTTAAACAGATTATTACTAAGGTAATCCTCTGACGTATGCCGGGAAAACGGCTATTTGTGAGACAGGGAAGTTACTTTATGTCATTTTATTGGATTTTCTAGTGTGATGAATGCACATAAATGTCATTAGATTAAGCCGGACTTCTCTACTATCAAATTATATCTTTCTCTCTTGCCCACATTCTGCAAA